AATTGTGATTTATATTTTATTTTGATATATTATGCAGCCCTAAATTGGAATCGCAGCAGCTGCACCTGGTAAAAAAGTAAATGTAGATTCCAGCTACGATAAACATCAATACTCAATAGGGGGTGCTGTAAAAGACTGGACTTATACAGTCAATGTTGATGGATCTCTTCAAGCAGCAATCCATCCAGCAGACCTAGAGGGAAAGCGCACAGACACACACCCTACTGGCTACAATTAAAAAGAGGAACACGTAACTGCATGTAACTTACTCTTCACAGTTGACACCACAAACTTTGATCTAAATTTTATTGTCTCGAACACTACAAATAGACTTACTTCACTCTTTGACACAAACACTGCATTAGGAGCTGCACATTTTGAATCAGCACCAGGTGAACAGGCTGTATTAAAAGACAAAACTTATTGAATCTCAGACAAAAATGTCTCCACTCTAGTTAAATTTTATTCCACCTACGCTTTGGAGGCTCTCCACCTCTGTACGTTCATCATCATTTCTGAAAATGCATTTCCACATTTACAATGCTTACACTCTCAACCGAAGGCCAACTACTCCCCGTGTCAGTCATTTGTGTCTCCTTACTTCCTTAGCAACCACGACTTATTTCCCCTAACAACACTGCAACCACTGCAGATTGGTGAAAAAAATGCAGCCACTGCACAAGACACTAAAATTTCCTTTGTTCAACCAGCTATTTCATATTTGTGATAGAGGCGGGACAGAGGACTACCCAGAAAAACAAGGTCAAGGAGTCAAGGTGAACAGGGACATAATTCTATAGCAGGGGTTGGCAATATTGATATTTTATTAAATATCTCAAAAACTATATTCTGACATTTTTTTTTTAGAAATGCATCAAGATTGTGCACTGGGCATTTTGGTCTCTCTTTGATGTTTTGATGTTGTTTTAATTAAATATCTCCCACCTCAATCAAATATGACATCAAGATGGATAGAGGACAGCAACTAACTTTTTCAGTTTTGATTACATATCACACTTGCAGTAAGCAGCTGTTCACAAACTTGTCTCAAAGGTACTTTTCCACAGAAGATCCTCTCATATATATATTGCATAATGTGCATGAACCACAGAAAACACATCCAACTCTGGAAATGAAAAGGGGCAAGACAGAGCAGGACACCCACACAAGAGTCCTAACCACATTCGGAGGATTCACAGGAGGTGCACAGAAGCTACAGGGCATTTCACATCCAGCAAAACACCCATCCCCAACACCTCCCAACACACAGGGTCATTCACACCAGCTGTATCTGGGTGGCTCCAAACAGCAAATTCTAAAATATCATTTTATATTTAGTATGGAGTAACGCATTAACTTCTCACCATCATTGTGTGGTGTAGGGAACTGAATCTTTTGTTTTACATAAGATATTCATATTACCACATGCTTATAATTTTGCAGCTGAGAGCAGATTGTAATTAGTGCTTTCAAATGAGACCGTGGGCAGGGGAGGTGAAGAGGAAATGGAAAAATAAAATAACAACAGGGTAAGGAGGCATTTCTCTAACAACAACCACATAGACGGAGCCCAGAGGAAGTGATTCTTCACTGTGTGCACATGTTAGATGACTAACCTGCTATGGATGATTTGGCTGATTTCAGGATGCCAACAGAAAGTATATTCATCTAGAACATTCAGCATTTTAAAATGCAATTACATGCCCAATATAAATAATTATTTGACTAGTTCATATAAAAAATAATGAATAAATAAATAAATAAATAAATAACTGCTGACTAAATAATCAGTAAAATGATAACACAAATATTGGCTTGTGTGCTCTTTAACTTTAGCACAGATGCATATACAGCACAATGACTGGATGGTTTTAAGAAGAAGCTTAGACAATCAATGCAATTTATGGTCATCAGTGTCACTAACTATGGCAGAAACAACAACCAGCTCAGCTACAAAAGCTGTTGAACAGAGCCTCTCATGTCTCTGACTTCCATGTTTGGAGAATCGCACACCAAATAGTCATGGCCCACAGGGTGGAACACAGAATGTAAAAGTGTAATGTTGACAAAAATAATTAGAAAATTAATAATCTTGATATATATTTCTTTCTTCCCTATGATGGTTTTTAGATAATATAGTAGCAATCCATCATAAATGTGCAAAAATATGTCTGTAAATGCTGTGGCTGAGATTCAAATATCATGGCAATTAAACAATTCAAATCAAAATATATCTTTTGAATGGGGAAAGGTTCTCACTGAGTCCCCACAAAGGAACTGTTTGTCTAAAACCCATGAATATGAAATGCAAACTATGTGCTGTTTCTGAAAGTTCGCATATGACTGTGACTGGTTAAATCCACCTGTCATTCACTCAGAACAAGCTGAGGCTGATCAATAGGAGATGTGAATGGGGAGATGTGGATAGGGAAATGCATTTTCTGTGTTTGAGCATGGCGATGATAACCTCTACAATATTTTGGGAAGAAAGGGGCTAAAACTAGTTCAAATTAAAAAGGTAGTCACCTGCAGAAAACAAAACAAAAAAAAACACAAAAAAAACATAAAAAATTATTAGGGCTGTCAAAGGTAAAATCGGATACAAATCAATACTACACCTAGTATTGAAACTAGAAAATCATTTAACCAGGTATCAATACCAAAAAGTCACATAGAAATAAACCTTTCATGAATAGCCTAGAATGATCTTGAGCTATATCAGAACTAGTATAAGACCACATGGACTAGTATAAGCCCATGGGCCACTATGTTCCATAGTGACTAAATGATTACACAGATATAGGACTACATAGTAATAAAAAAAAGAAAGTGCTATGTTTTAATATTGGAAAAAAACATTTTATTGTCTAACTAAAGAATATTTTTTTCATTTTTCAGTCATTGTGGATTCGGAATCAAATAGTCAATAGAGTCAATTCCTTCATATCAAAATCAAGTTGTCGTGACAACACTAAAACATATGTCATCTTAAAATATCTAATGCTGTTACATAATACCGTGTAACTTTTCAGGGAAAGCTGTATCTCCATGGAGACAACAAGCACCGGAAAAATTACCCTACAAAGAGCACCCTTTCAGGGTTTAAGAAAAAAAAAAAGATCATATAAATAACATAAAAGAGAAAAAGTAACAAACAGTAAAGAGGATTAATTAATTAGTGAAATCCACAGACACTCTCTGTACATGACAAGACGCACATGTGCATTTCCTGTGGCGGTTTCTCAGATTTCCTGTCAAGGTCACTGTCGCTCTGTCAGTCTGAACAATGTGTGATGAATACACACATTCGGTAGTTATTCTCACAATCTAACACAATCCAATATTTCATGTCTGAAATATTGCAAATGAACAGAATGGAGGGAAACACAGACTCAGTCTGTCTAGAAAAGGACATATTGAAAGAACTATTGGTGATGATAATTTACCTTCATTTGAACTGTAGGGATGGTTGATAGTGAAGTGAGGAAAAGATAAGTTTATAACAGAATGTAGAAAGGACTGGCTGGTCTGGCAACCATAATATAGCGCAGAGCCCTAACAATGTAGCAATGATTTAGTAAGTTCCTCTGTGGGTATGTGTTTCTTATATTTGTTTAGTTACTAATATTACCAAATGTATACACAATTGCAACAATAAATATTTAAGAAGAAATAAAATTACTAATAAATAATAAATACATAATAAGACTCAGGGCTGCTTCAATCTGTCTTAATAAAGGAAGTCTTCAAATAGACCTATAGCTGTAACACCACTATGGGGAAACCATTTGCAGAAGTACAAGAAGATTAGTGGGTCAATTGTACAAATGACACCCCCTATGCACTCAGTGTCATCTGCCATTATGGACAGAGCACTACATAAGCTCCATATGTTCAGAGTCACAAGGACAAGCACAATATGCTGTTAGCCTTACACTCTTCTGGGGACATACAACATGCTGAACCTTACATTATTTAAATAGAGTTTACAATTTTCAAGCAATGGATGCAAGTTGCCTGCACCATCTACTGTTCTATTGGATAGCTTGGTTTATTTATTAAATGTCATTGCAGTATTGTTTTGGCTCTACAACAATGTAGTGGTATAAAACACAGCTTAAGTTAAGAGGTTCTGTCCTAAGTGATGTAATGATCCATTGAACTGTTATAGACTTTCCGTATCGGCCTACTTAAAATTTAAAAAGAGAGAGAGAGAAAGCTACAAGACGACATGTAAATGGCCAGCTAATGGGCCTAAAAAGTGGTAACATGCGCAATCAACAGAATCTTTCCCAGATAGAAAAATTTAGACAAATTTCGCCATTACATAAATCCTCTAGATACTATCTCTGGTCTCTTTTAACAACAGGCATGACTCGAGCAAAAGTAAAGCCAAATAATCACGGTGACAGACTGAACAGGCACACAATTTGAGTAAAGAATACATACTTCGCCAACACTTCAAAAAGATGTGTGTCTAATACCAGGGGAACCAGTCCGGATCCCAGGCAAGCGCACCATATCATTTTAGGTTTTGTCCAATCCAAAGGAAAAAATGAATAAAAAATAATACAATAAAAAAAATCAAGAACACACAAAACAAGTAAGACCGTTCATTTCAATACTAGTAAAAAAAAATGTTAAAAAGTTTGATCAAAGAACCGTTTCCTTTTCTTAGGCTGCAGTTAAATTGTAATATCGCCCATGTTAATCTAAAAGGTTCGCGTTAAAGAAATCATATTTTCTTGAACCTCACTCTTACCTGTTGAAGATTAAGGTGAGCAGAGAAGAATAGTCGGTAAACGGGCTGTAGGTGCAGCCAGCGTCGGAACATGGTGTGTGCTGTCCGCCTGTAAACACCGTGCGCTGAACGCGCGCACTAACGCCCCTCCTCCACAGAGCAGGATGCCCACCAGTCACACAATAATCCACACACACGTTTATGTAGATGTATAATGATTACAAAATATCATTTGAATAGTTTAAATAAACAAAGGCAATTTCATTGCACATTTTTATTGCATGAATTGTAATGACTGAAGACAAACAAAATCTAAGATATGCTGAGTATAATTGAACTGTTTGAACTAAAGGCTTCCGCCTTTAAAAGGGCAGATATTCAAGTGACTGGCAGCCCCATCGACCAAGTCACTAATACAAATCGTTTTTTTAAACTGCATATAAATGATAAAGTAATAACATTTATCTAAGCAGTTTAAAAGGTCCACTGATCCAATGGCTCCATCTACAGGTTAGATTTTGTACTGTAGATAAATGGTGCTGGATAAATGAAAGACTGCTATCATAGTCATTTTGTATCATTTAAAAATCTTTCTTTAAAGTAGACCAGCCACATCAAAATACTTTGATACTGACTTGTAAAATGGTCTCTTAAAACTTAAAAGTAACTTGGTCACTCAACAATCAAAAACAAAACAAAAAAAACAATATCGGCACATGTGCCACACCAAACCTTATCATCCAGCAAACAGGACTTAAGATTTACTGGTTTACTGTTATTACACATATCACATGTTCGTATAGTTTTTAAAAAAATAAATATATTCAACAATACAAATAATTTGTTAGGTAAATTACAGATAATTTGTAAAATCTTGCCAAAAATGTTTCATGTGTATCTGGGCTTCATTACATTGGGCACTGTTAGAATGGGCAAATTGAAAGATTATAGCCAAACAACAGCATGAGCATCAAACACATTTTCTAAGACAGAGCAAAAAATCTTGATTGTGTGATGTTTTACTCTCAGTATATCATAGTCCCTTTTAAAAGTATTGCTTATAATTCAGAATGAAAAATGTGGGAAATACATTTAGAATCAGAGGTAGGTATTCCCAGGTGCAAATATGATCATGAAAATGTTATACTACAGCAGGGGCATCTTTTTAAGTGGCAAATATACAAAACACATGTGTATATTTTCACTATGGCAGTAATGTACCATTCAAAAGCCACACACATCGGTAGTATCTTAAAATGCTGCTGTCTTGACTAAATGACAAATGCACTGAGATCACCAATAATAACAGTTCAACATAAGGAGGATTTTCAGGTTTTAAAAATCCCAGCTGCCTTGTCACTTGCAATAGTCACTGTGCAGCTACAAAACCAGAGCTCAGTTATAAAGCATTATGTCTGTGCTTAAAAACTGTATCGTGCTATATAAAGAAAAGGTGTTAACAGTCAAAACTCTCACTGCTAACTATTCTAATCAACCAGAAGTTGGCAAAAGATGCTGATGATTTATGTTGGCAATGAAATGAGATTCTCCTTTGTGGAAAAAAATATGAGCATGTTTCCACATCCCTCAATATTATCATTTGTAAAAAGGTTTATGAAACATTTTGCTTTGGGGGAATTTTGTACAAATATTTTAACTTTTTTTGACAAACTGTTGCAGAAAAAAAATAACCGAAAGAAATACCATGCACAAGTTTTCCATGTGTGCTGATTACATTTTATGTCAAAATATCATAGTCAATGTTTCTGTTCAAAAAGTAGTTTTTTGAAGGCCATTTGCCTTTTTGTCAGTTCTGATCCTGTTTTTTTGTTTTGTTTTTTAATATAAATAAGCTCACAGTTCCAGGTTGCAGTTGTTACAACTTGTTCATCATTTCCTGAACAGCAGGAGGCGCAAGAGGCATGGTGCTGACCAAATGAGTTTCAAGAAATGCTCTTAATAAAATGTTATTTTTTTACTTTGTTTTAAATTGTTGCTTTTCTTCCTCAAAAACATGACAGACAACAATAAGGCAGGTTGTAATAAACTCAACAACCTCCCGAAGAAGACGACTGGTAGGTAACAGAGGCATGTTAGTCAAAAGCAGGCCCCTATCTGCACAGGTCTTCATGTGTCGAGTCTCTCACATTTTTTCTCTTCTTGCTATTGCCTTGGTGCTGTGGCCGGCTGCTCTCATGAGCTTTGGTGCTGGCAGAGGAGCCTTTCTGACTATGGTGGCCACTCTTAAGATGGAAACGGGACGCTCTTGCCTGTGAGTAAAACAAAGAGTACAGACAAGTTTTTGACATACTGCCCAGTATACCTTGTGTAAAAAGTAACTTGCCTTGCCACTTTTGTTGCTTGTAGATGAAGTGGTAGTGCCATGACTCGTTCGATGATTAGCTACAGAGACAGACTTTTCTCTGTGGGGCACCAAGCTCCGACAGGGCTGCTGTTTAGCAGTCTTACATGGTGTGCCATCAGAGTCCTGAATAAAGAAAAAATTATTACTGGCTTTTATACCTTGACCATTTGATTCAGTATGTAGTTAGAAGAACTTACAGCATCACTGGAGCTGGATGTGGATGTGGGTGAGAGAGGAGAGGATGAGGGAGAGGAGTGCAGTGATGGAGATGGTGAAGAAGAGTTGGAAGACTGTTTACTGTGAGGAGCAACATCCTCCTCCTCCTCCTCCTCCTCATTTGGAACATTGTTGTTGCATTCATCAAGTTGTTGGGATAGTGCATCATTTTCTAGGAAAAAAAAGGGTACAGTTAAATTGTGACTTTAAAATCACACTGACAGACATATAAAGGGATATACTCAAAACAGACTTACTGTTAAGTGGTAATTCGTTTTTACACTGGTTGCCCCAATTGCTTCTTATCCATTCCCGGTACTCATCAACTTCCTGAGTAACACGGATTATTCTGCCAAGAATACTGTGGAAAATGCATTGAAACATGTTTTAAATGCCAAAATTAAAGTACACAGTGAAAATGTGACACCTATTACGTGACATTCATAATCATTTGACATTTATGACACAATTTAAATATATTTCATAATTTCACTTAAATGTGTATGTATAAACATAGAAGATAAATGTCTTGAAGCACTCACCTCTCAGTCTCATTATTTGGATAGTACTTGGCAATGGGTGACACAGCATGGCTGAGAACCACATATGCATAGTCAAATGCCTGCTTGACCTGCATAGCACCATATGAGCTTCGCCCAACATCGTTGTCTAAAATTATGAAAATGTGCTTATGAGAAATGTTGACATTAGATACTATTTTATCAATTGCATAAGACTGTCTTGTTACCTGGCTGCAGAGGGTCTTCAATGTAGAGCATGGAAGGCCTGTATCCATCCATCATGTTCTTCTGTACTTCATCTTTGGCAACATAGCAGCCTCCATCTGTTATCCTAATGCCCGTTTTCAGGTAGTTAAAATTGCGACCATAGAGCTCAAAGAACTCAATAAGCAAAACTCCAATGTTGATATTGGGACTACATACATCTCTGTAGTGAAGCTGCAACACATAGTATTTAATGTTAACAACAAGCACTGATTGTTAGCTTAGCCTCCACAAAAACCTTAAGATCTGGTTGGCAATACAGTATTTATACGGTCTTAAAATGTCATTTACATGTAACTGAGCATACCTTTGGACAACCCTAATATTATTTATTATTATTGATTGTATAGTCAACATGTTTACTGACCTGTAGGAAGCTTACAGCCATGAGAAACAGACTGTATGAGCCGATTCCTCCTGTGAAAACCTCATTGAGGTCTCTCTGCAGCAGAAACTGCTTTAGCACCAGGACCAAGTAAGGCAGCACAGGGTATTTCTAGAGAAAAAAAAATGACAGGGTCTATACGTTAGTTGTTACACATAACTCTCACACATTACAATCAAATTGCACTATCAAGGCAGAAACTGAATAACCCATAAATGTTATTGTACAAACCTCTTTATATTCCTTTATAAGACAAGCAGCTTTAACTCCATTTTTAACATTGAAGCTAATGTCCACCTTGACCTCAGTAAATGAGTCAGTGAGTTTGATAATAGGTACCTAAAAACAAAAACGTGAATATTACAAGGAGATGATAGTAAGAACAAAAACAACCAACAGAACAATTTCCCCATGATGCAACAATGAAATATTTATTTTTCTTACAAAAATAAAATTTTAAACATGGAGGTATTCCATGAAAAACAGTTCAGGCTTATCCAGAACCCCAAGGCAAAAACTACTAGCTTCACCTCCATCTTTAGCCTCCAATAATGAAAGATATATAACAGACTCTAGTTCAAGCCTGACATTTGTCAGCTGCCTATTGTGGGAAATAAGCTTAAAATGTGTTAGTCATGACTAAAAGGCAGGAGCCAGAACACGCACCGACAAGTGCAAAAGACGGGCGAAAGTCGGTGCAAAATTTTGAAATAATTTACAATAATCTGATCTAGTTATGGATGACCAAATTAAGTAATTTTCATCATTCATGTTTTTAATATCCTAAATGCATGTTATTTTTAAAGACTTTCTTCATGGCATACCCCCATGTCTCAAAAAATACATAAAAAAATATAAAATGTTTAGAAAAAAAATTTGTTTACTTACAGTGGCTTTGTCCAAAACTTTAATAGAGTTCTCATCAGCAACATTCATTCTTCGAAGTGCCTCTTCCAGTGTCCAAAGTGGGAGAGTTTCCCATTTTCCAAAAACAACAAGGTCTATGTCACTGGTGGAAAGAAGAATGACAAATTGTCTCTTCAAGAATACAGAAAAAAGATGGAACTATATTGTTTTTCTTTTTTTTTTAAAAAGGTGGCAAAATGACTGTTGCTGAAAAAAATAAAATAAAAGGTCATAAATAAAGTAATAAAGTTATCTGACTGTTAGTCATTTGATTAAAATACTGTATAGCATTAATAAATACTGATAATTCATTAAAATTATTTATTTACAACAAAAAATTATGCCTTCTTTCCCCAGATTTCTACAGACTTGGAGTACAAAGACATTATTTTAAGTGAGAAACATGAAATATTAAACATGAAATACTAATGACAAAGTGACCAAAAGTATGTTTAAAATGGAATTAAAAATAACACAAAGCCATCAGAATGCATAATGTCTGTCCTTTAAGTGCTTAACAAAATAAGATGCTCACCTTGTTGGCAGGTAAAGACCAGTGCTGAAACTCCCAAAGACTTGCACCTAACAAGAGTAAAACACAATATAAATAATAAAAATGAAAAAATAAATAAATAAATACTGAAATTACTACTACTTTTACAGTATAATATAGCATGCATGAGTACTGCACATTGTGAATGAGACAGATTTGTTGATAATCTTCTGATTATTACAGTGGATCCAAACATTTATGTTGGCAGCTGGTAGTTCCCCTGCTCAGAGTTTTTCTTATGTTGTAACACACAGGATTATTACGAGCAGTACAGAGGATAAATCACTCCACGGAAACAGTATAGGGACAGCTTATTTTGAATTGAAATAATGCAATCACAACAGTGAAGCTGCTGCACTTCTCACCTTTTAAACCAAGTTGGTGCAACCAAGCTACTCAGCTTTCTAGTAAATTATCTGCAGGGACCTTGGGGCATTTCTCATGATACAAAAATGTGTTAATGCATGCCCTAGAACAAAGTAAAAACACCAGCAGCATGATTTCTCTAGTTAATACCTTCTCAAGCCTACTAGACACAAGTTGCCATGCCTATCACTTTTACACAAGGGGTCAGCACCAAGGAGCACTGCTTGCCTTGTTCAAAGAACAATTTGTTAGCTGTAACTTCTGTCATCCACCAACTACCACTGAGAGTTAGCATTATCATCTTGGCTTTGCTCCATTGTTAAACAAAGTCTGCACAAGTTTGCACTGGTAATAAACTGACACATAATTAAGAGGCAAACACATGATTGTTTGCTGGCATTTGGGAATTGTCCCACCTTGTTTTTAGTGAAGTTGTATTTAGTGAAACTGTGCTGATGTAAGAATGCTGTAAGCACAAAGAAGGTACAAGTGGAAAGTGAGTCTTTCATCTTTGGAATATAAGATTAGTGTGTACCTCAGCACTGGGCCACAGATCATGGATGACGGCTTTAATTCTGTCAACCACCTCCAGTCTCATCTTCTCCTCTTCTGGCCGTGGGGAAATGTATGTGTAGAAATCCGTTATCTCTTCATGTAGCCTGTGCAAAAGACAGCAGTCAAGTTTAAACCCAATGTGTGAAGAAAAGGAGCACCATTTTTATTATCCTCTAGTATCAACAACATAATGCAGTGGCCAACATAATCCACAGTTGAGATAGACCGTTATAACTGTCTGTTGGCACTTTTTAGCAGGCTATTGGCCTTAAATCTTCAGCACGGGGCGACACTTTGCTTTGACCAACCAGCTGCCTAAAGAATATGCATCCAACTTCTTGAATATATACTTTACTATGAAGAGGACACTGTACAAAATGCAAGTACACAGTTCTAGTAAATCAGATTTGTGGGTGAGTTTGTACTAAATTGAAAATCATACAATTGGGGCAAAATAACCAAAATCGGCCATACACATCAGCCAGATTTTATCGGCTATCGACTTCTGTTATGATTGATACACAGCACAACTTGGTCAGAGATGCAACATTCAAATTTGAAGCATTTTAACACATTTTCTTAAGACAATTATATAGCTTATTCAGACCACCTAAGCACAACAAGGATTTTTCTGATTTTATGGCTTTTATGTTGACTCATTATGACAGGATTTTAATTGTCTACGATTTTAACGTGAATATTTGTTGCCATGGCTAAAGAGTTTTTAGATTTGGTTGACTCATTTAATATGACACAATATGTCACTGGCCCTACTCAGATGCACAGACCCACTTTAAAACTGGTATTATTACAGTTCTTTCCTATTGACAGTGCCACTGTTGGAAATTCAGTTTATTCTGACCACAATCCTGTCATGTTTGATTTTAACTTGGACAGTGACGTGATGCTGCCTGCTCCTGTTTGCAAATGTCGTGTTATTAAGTCCGACACAGCCGCTGCTTTTACTCCTGTTTTACGGCTTCTGCACTCATCCTACCCCCTGTATCTACGGGTAAAGAGCATTTAATGAAAGTATTTATGTCCCTCTGCAGTGGCATTTTAGAGATTGTAGCTCCTTTGAAACCCATGCGCCCAAAACCCAAAGCAGAGCCAGGACTTAAACGACAATACATGCACTGCACGGCATGAGTGCCATAGAGTGGAGCACAGGTGGAAAAGTGACAAATTCTTCGAAGTAGCTGGAAAAACTACCAGAGTGCTGTTAAAGCTGGAAAAACACATTTTTCTCAGACTTGATTTCAAGTAATGCTAATCAACCTCGTGTTCTTTTTAAAACTATCAGTTCCGTTCTTAACCCCAATCCATCCACTACACTGGACATGACACAGGAAACATATGAAAAATTCCTCTCCTTTAATGAGAAGGTTGCTGTTATTAGAGCCAATATATCTACATTGTATTTTTCTAATTTTGCCAAGTTCAAATACTTTTAGTCAGTTTGAGCCTATATCATTGTCAACCAGCTTAAGCCATCGTCCTGTCCCACAAACCCAGTCCCACCCCACTTTTTTTTTTAAAAGGTTTGGGATACAATCGGCAATTTCCACAATTGGAACCACTGACTAAAAAAACAGGTCTGGATCCCACAATTTTATCAAACTACTGACCAATTCTAAAATTTTTAAAATTGAATGAAGCAAAGACTGCGGTGACACTGTCTGGATCCAGCAGTAGGGTTGGGCGGTATCCAAATTTGTATACCATTAAATCTTCTCAGGATTTTACTGGGGTATATGATATTATTACCGTATTACCAAAATATTTTTGTACGACTTTGGTAAACTACGAAGCCGCACCACTATACAGTTTATGCTACAACCTGCAGACTTATAATCGCTGAAACTTTTCACATGAATCATCTCCAATGTGATACACGCACAGAACAGACTCACCATCAGCCGCACATCCTCTGCTACAGAAAGGACTCATATATTCCATTGAGTCGTGCCGTTTAGCCCGACAAGAGCTGAACCGCATCAGCGACACAAAGAGCTTATGCAAATTAGTCATGTGGTTTTAAGTTTTGTTTCTGTAAAACATAAACAAATTTGCAATTTGCAGCATTTTGGCTTCATGCGCACAAGTACTAGTATTTTTTGGGAGGAGACCAACTAGCTCGCAACCTGACTTGCCATCTTGTCTTGGTCTCCCTTATGAGCGTCACGTGACAACGGAACAAAACTAATCGAAAGTCATCTCCCCACGCAGTTAAAAGAAACATTATAGACAACTATTAGTTTTAAATCGTGATAGCATTAAATTGAAAATACAACCACACATTAATTTGTGCTGAGCAAACTAATTTAGGTATCAATAAATTATAATATTATTTTAGGTCCTTATGCGCAATACTGCAATACCGTATTACTGCCCAACCCTATCCAGCAGTACCTTCACTGTTGTGGGACCCCTCAAAAATGATGTGCACCCTACAGTCACTAATCTTGGCATCATCTTAGACAGTGATTTTAAATATGACAAACAAATCAGTGGACCAAGGACCGGACCTTCTCTGTGGCAGGCCCCAAGCTCTGGAATAATGCTCTACCCCCCACGTCCGTGTTTTCTCATCTTGAGACCAACTTTTATTTTCTGGCTTTTAACACTGCATGAGTTGTGTGGTCCTCTGTGTTTATTTATTTTCAATTTATTTTATTGGTTTTATTTATTTATTGCTATTCTGTGTTTTTCCTCTTATTTTATTTTACTGGTTTTATTGTTTTAAGACTAGTATGATTAAATCTGAGTATTGTTTTTATCATTACATTATTACCGTTATTAGCATTAGGGGTGTGCAAAAATATCAAAATATCAGTATATTGTATTGTTTAATGTGATGATACAGTATCAATATCGGGGACTGCTGTATCGATATATTGCCAAGATTATTTCTTGGTACATTTAACAAAATTATATTGTTACAGTGCTACATTTTTGTTGCATGTTTTAAGGAAGGAAATTCGTTTACGCAACACTTTTGACATTTTCAGTGTTTTGATGATTACAACGGTGTGCTTCATATTAACTTTGCACAAGAGGTTTAACAAAGACAGAGTATCACAGCCATGATTTAGCCTTTATTTTTTATTGAACGGTATCGAATCATTTTGAAATATATCGTATCAAACTGAAAGGGCACTGTATCATATTGTGGCCTATGTATCAATGATACCCATCCCTAATTAGTATGTATTTGTGCAGCACTTTGGAAACTGTTTATGAAATGTGCTATATAAATAGTATAATAATAATAATAATAATAATAATAATAATAATAATAATAATAATAATAATAATAATAATAATAATAATAATAATAATAATAATAATAAAAATAATAATAATAATAAAAAGTGGATTGAGGTTAATTTGATTATTTTTAAAAATCAAAATAAATTATTCAAAAAGGACAACTGGCTAGAACTTAAGGCTGGACATTATTTTTCATGATGAGTCTGTGCGGTCACATGTTTCAGGTAAATGTAGCCTACAAGACCAAACAAAAAGTTTAGTGGGGTCAAGGCCTATTACCTGCAGGTGTAACAGGTTCTTATGGTAACAGATCCAAGCTTCTAGGTTTGGCCTGACATCTTACAGTGGTTTGTAGCAGTTCTGCAGTAATTGGAGATATTGGCCCATTTTACTGGTCACAGTGCTTACACGCAACCTCACGGAGCACACTTGCAGTGTTCAACTCGAGATCTCCATGGCATCTTCAGCTTGTTTTGTAGCTTGTGTAAACATCTATTAGCCACTGCATGATCTGCACTCACCCATGGAGCACTGATTGATTTTATTCGCTAATTTAACCATGTCATATCAGCACTGCTTTGGACTTCACTCTTCTCAAGCAAGCTTCTCTGTGGTTTACCAGAGCATATTTGGTCCAAACAAACCATGGAGTAGTTTGTGTTAATCCATGATAATTAATGTTAAACCATTAACTTTGACTGCCCTAATTGATACAACAAAAATAAAAAGTAAAGTAAAATGTAACAGAAACACATTATTGCAATAATAATCCCAAAGAGTAAATTGTGCAAATAATAGAACTAAAAAAACAAAAACAAACAGACCTGCAGTCAAGTTGCTCTGAGTTTCATTTCTCAGTAAATGGGCCATGTGTTACTCCTCTCTCATTACATGGGAGCAGCAAAGAAAATCAGACATCCTACTCCACCTCTCAAGATCAAATTACAACTCACCCTAAAGCCAAAAAAGCACACGACCAATTGGCTCTACTAAAGGGATAATCCCCCTTATCTCAGAGTAATGTTATATAATCTTGAGAAACTGGTTCTCAGAGAGCAGTAGGTCAAAGCTGCACCAGATTTGGACAGCAAAACACTATGCCAGGCACCGCTCGTTATGAGTTGTGCATAACTGTGTATATAATCATGTACGATCATGTCATCACAAAATATATCCACCAACGTTATTAAAAAGAAGAGACTTAAAATATTCTAGTAAAAAGGAATTATGAATAAGAATATATTTTTTAAAAATGATATCTGTATGGGGCAAGACAAATTTTAAAAAGTACACTATGTAGCCTCCGTTTCTATTGTTAAAAAATGTTCTACAATCACAACTAAGCCTGGGCTGCCAGTGCTTTAACCTGCAGACAGAGGGCAAACACATGTTTTGTGAAAGCCTAGAACCTACAGCGATAACTCTGAGCTGCAGAGGCTGCACTAGCACAGATTCATGATCGGCTGGAGGTGTTGGGATTTAGGGAGTGACCAATCAGATCAGAGAGAGGATTAAACCAATTGAATATCAGTATTGAAACTGGCAACATTAATGAGAGAATCATATGAGGCTCATTTTGATTATTATTCTTGAAAACCAAAATGCCAATTATAACTGAAACAACTTCATCATATATCATGTTTTTGTAATTATGAATGAGAAATTACTTGTCAACAGTAAAAGCTATTTTTTATTTGTGTGTTTACATTTACCATAGGTCTGAGGACAGATTATATTATGAAGTGCTTATCAAATTAAATCTGAAATGTGTACTGTCCACATATATAATAATATTCGAAGATTTTACTTTGAATGATCAAAGCTAATTTGTCAGTATAATTGTTATTGTTTTTCTAAAATGTGTTTGTACAATTCTGTTTATTTTCCAATTGAGTACTTGTATTGTGCAAGACTTAAGCAATAATACAAAACTTTAAACTACTGATGAAAAAATTTGAAAAGATCAGGGTCACATTTAGTGTTCCTGATAGTTACCCCTGCTGGTTAACATATGCTATATTATCATCTGTTGTATTATCATATCACCATCACTAATAGTCATAGTTAAAATACATGGGCATTTTACTATAACACTCACGTACAAAATACTGGTGAAATAAACAAATGTAATACTGCTGCATATGACAAAATAGAGTTATTGAGTAAGTGACAGACATGCTGTTGAAATGAAGGGGGGCATCAACACAGTCCAAACAACAAGATTGCATTTCTTCACTTATTTGCACAGACTTGAAGGTAACTTTTAGACTAACCATAGCACCTTAAATGCACTGACTACGTTTCAAAATGACACAACACTCAATTATTCACTGAAATTTTTGTTTTTGCAAGGTCGAATTTTACACAACTTAACTTGCACTGGCCAATTATCAATAAAACATATAATTGTTCAATTTTTTTTAAATGTGAGGCTGCAGTATTTTTAAATAAACCCTGAAAAGACATGGACCAAAGTAAGGCAGATTCCGCCACAGCGATAAATGTGCATTTGGCCAGTCTTGGCCTTTCTGTATCACCAAGCCAAATCCTGTGACTGTAGGGAGCAATATGGGTGAAGTGTGTGAAAACAGTATAGATTGCACTAAAAGGAGTTTAGAAGTGGCTGACTGTAGGTGGTGGAAGAATGCATTTTGAGCCATAGACACCACACTACTACTTTTTGTAGTACCTAGAATAATCCTTACCATATTATTAACAGATCACTGAATATGGAAGGACTATGGACAAAAAGAGTATCAACACAAATATTTGGGCTGTTGGCTTATTATGAGAAGTGAACCGGTCTATGGCTCATGCAGTTACTGCTGGTTTAATAATAATAATAATAATAATAATGACTGTATTATCCTCCTTGTACAGTAATATAAATATGTTGCCCATATTGAGCAGATGTAGCACTTTGAGAGTTGTCAGCCAAGTCGAAGTTGCTTTCAGAGTTGAGACAAAAATTCAACTAGTAACTCAAGCAAGTAACATGTATGCTACAAGTCAAGTAATCTGTCGAGCTAGCCACAGATTAAATTTCTTAAATAAATAGAAAACTTACACATTACTATGAATGTTGATCAACCAAAAGCGAGTTCACACTTTGTGACTTGTCTGCACATGACTCAGAATGGGAGTGTCAGATCCGCCAACTAACTATTGTCAACGTAAACTGTGAAATCATTCCATGTTTCAACAGAGTTCTAATTTACATGTTAAAAACAAGCTATTTTGGTCCTCGGGGTTTTAATCTACGGTTTTAGTTTGTAGTTACTTGACAGGAGGTGGACGTGCACAGCGGTACACTTTCTGCATCCCATGTACAGACACTCGTGGGTCTGACCAAACTTGGTGCTGCATGGTTTTCAGTGGCTATGGCTAAAAGACATGGTTTGATCAAATCTCACCACTGAACTTACCCTACAATTCCTTCAGAGTAGTTTCGAACTTTCCATGGGGTGCCCGTGTATTCAGCGAGTCTTCCTGTGTTACAGTCATTGCCAGTGTGCAGGAGGCTGGAATTGTATCCAAAAGTGCTAGCTTTGTTGTCCCTTTTCCTTTTGTTGGAGAGTCCGTCTGTGAGCCCTCTCCACAGCACCCCGCTCCCCAGCTGCCCTACTCCTCCAACACCGCCCCTGCCCGAGGCTCGGTGGTTGTGGTTGCTGTTGCTTTCTAGTGGTATGAAGTCTTGTTGCTCTGTTAGTTCTGCGTCCTCCATTGGGATACCGCTGTTGGAATTGGGAGCCCAGTTTCTGCAACTGTTTCCGGACGCCCCGTTTGGAGACCCAGAGGTGAAGCTAGTATTTACATGTAGGTACCCAAGCCCTTGTGTCGTCTCCCAAATTTGCATCCACAGGTTGTTAGCTGGTCCACGCTGTTCTGGTTGAAACCAGGCGATTCTCGGATCCATCAAACGCCACTAAAGGCACACTGCCCCCCCTGCCCAGCACCGAGCAGCGCTCAGCCCGTCTGCTCTGTGCCGCTAGCCAGGTTAGCACACGTTAGCTGAAGCCTCGTTACAGCGATGTTAGCAGGCTGTCCGCTGCCCGCTACTTGTACAATCTCCTCAAACACGTCTGTGCCAGAAACAAGGCGCCCGATGTCAACTACAATTATTCACAAAAATAAACAAAAGCTTCAGCTCCTAGTACAAAGCAGCGCAAGTCGAAATATAGCGTCGGGACAGAAGAAACGTGCGAATGCAGTATCGGACTGATTTTCTGACCCTTTCCTCTCAATGGCGGTTCAGTGTGAGTGAAGCATGGGGAGACGGCGCATGCGCGTGCACGGGAGAAAGAGGTGGAGAGTTGTTCTTACGCAACTCACAACTGTTTTTGGTTACATAACAAAATGTATTACTCTAGGATTAAATAATAAACACAATGCATTTTTGTTGAGATCAACGTTAAGTTTAATAACAGGGCCCTTTAAAGTTCAACGCAAACATTTTGTATACAGTATAAAATGTGCTAAATTCTCTAACAAATGTGAGACAATATTTGGTTTTGAATTAGAAATTACTATGGCAACTCCTTCGCATCAATTAAAAGTGCATATGACAGATTCTCATATTTTAGTTTGGTGGGATAATACATTTTGTCAACAAGTTTGTTACAACTTGTTGTCATGCTCTGGCCCTTGTGTAATTTGATTATCAGGTTATATGTCTACTACTGACATATTTGCTGATTCAAGTGTTGTGAATGTCCAGTCAGAAAGTAAAATAACATTTACACTTAAACCCACATCTTATCACTAAAGTTCAGCACTTTCTAGCTGGAGACTGATTTTAAATGTATTAGTAAAGTAAAAATAATGAAAATAAAAATCACAAATGCAATACATTTCCAGTACTCAAAATGAATCTTTCATCATTTCATTTTAACAATGAAGTTTAATTAAAAATTAGCATAATTTTTTAGTTAAAGTGTATTTGACAGGTTAGTAGGCTACTAATTTTTCATAAGTATAGGAAACAATGTTTTAGAATGCTCTTCTTCCCCTCTACCAGTTTCGATCCCAGTCTACCACTTGATTGTTTGGTGTAAAACTGTTAACTACAGGTATCACCAAGGACTAGATTTTTTTTTTTTTTTAATTGGCGACAAAAGCACTTTTGTAGCACATTCTACAGTTCACTTGTTCCATTTTTTGTTGTTCTAGTCCAAGTTAATTTCCAGCTTTGTGATCAAAAACTGTCAAAAACAAAGAGTATACTGTCAACTATGGTTAAACTCTGCCACTGCATTTTTATGCTGCATTCATGTGATCTCGGAAACTAGGAAGACTGGACCTCCAACTCAAGTCGAATTTTAAATTCTGTAACCCATGCAGAAGATTTGAATTCAGAGTTCCAATGTTTACATCACATTGGGATGTAAACTTCCATTCTAGGATTTACACTGACCTACTTTACTAATTAAAAATAAATTAGAAAAACAAAATGACAGCAAGAACTAAATGATCAATATCACTAAATTATAAAATATTAAATTAAAAAAAAGTAAAAACTACCTCCACACACAAACTCCTAACAATATTCTTCCCTCCAAAGAAAAATGTGTCCCATTGCAGTCTGTTAATATTTTAAATATTTTTTTACAAGTTAGTCTTTCAGATAAATCATTCATAAGATTAAGTGTCCAAGTTTCTGAAATCAAATGAATGCAACAGACGAGGGCTATGACATCACACCTGCAGGGGCAGAGTTTGAAGTGCAACTCAAGTTGTTCCTCACCAGACGCTGCTCAGTTTAACAGCTTGTTTGGACTATGGCTGTGGGCGGAGTTTCTGCGTCAAGTCACTCTAACCTGTCACATGCACTTTAATTTTGTGTCACACAAACAAATATGTATATTCTGTAGAAGATATCTGAAACAGAAATGGGGGAAAGAAACTAAAAACAAAGTATTCTGCAAAACTGAGTACATCAGCAAGATAGTAAATAGGAGATATGCAAAGCAACAAAACAATATTTGCTTTACTGCCATGGTAATAAATAAGATGATTTCACAACCATAACACAATCCATGCGTTATCCTGATAACATATCTTGATGTTATCCTTCATTTGTCCAGGAGCCGTCCATGGTATCAAAGGTTTGAATGTAGTCATCTGGACAGCATTTTTGAAATCAGGACATTTTAGCTACCATCTAGAAAACAATGTGGGTCCTTAATGTACTGGTCTGAAAAACTAGAATTAATCTAGCTTGAGAGAATAAATTGTAGCTCCTCAAACCTTTAAAGACCTTTATTTTTAAAAAATGGCATTCACTTTTGGATGTTAACCAAACATAGTCCAGATCGCTACCTTTGATACCTGATCGGATATTTGGCTAATTTGTACATATTTAACACATATGACCTAATAGGGCCTACCAAAAAATCATTTTTTAACCACCTTTTCTAAATAACCGATAAATCTTCTCAAGTTGGTTTTGACATTGTCTAGCACACAAAGCTGCTGCGGGGCATACATTCCTCTTCCCTCTTTTCGAATCTAGGGAAATAATGCATACATTACATACATTTCCAATTAGGACACAGACATAAATGACATACGGTGGAAAAGATATATACTATGGCAATCTATAATAATCATACGGAAGTAACTTCACAACACAATCCTCTGATTATTTACGAATATGTAAAAAATAAATAATATTAGATTTTACCTTGGCCTTAAATACAGGCTGAAGTGCTTTGAGGGCAGGTAGTAACTGGATGTTTTTGGCAGCTATCTCTGCCTCTTCACCATCCGCAAAAACGTCAAATAAGGCATCAAGTGCTTCTCCATTTACAACAAGGTCAGTATCTTTGGAGGCAATTTGTAGTAAGGCATTTCCAATAAGCTGCAAGAGACATTTTGTCAACACCGCCACTTTGAAAGTAAAAGTTAATAATGTTTGTACCTGGATTGTTTCTGCTGTGCCTTCCTCCCTTGCCAAAATACTGCCAGTTATACCCAGAATGGCAACAGCATTGACTCTCACACTGACAACATCACAGTGGCTGGCTGCTTCACTCAGACTCATGAGTTGCTGGGGTATCATGCACTGAAGGACACAATTAATGTCTTTCAGTCTGGTACAAACATATAAATTACTAGTAAAAAATATATCTAACTTACCTGTGGAATATTTTTGGAAGCAATAGTCTGCAATAGTGACCTCAGAGCACTAGTTACAGCTTCAAGAAATTCAGCATCATTAGGCATTTCTGAAAAAGATAACACATCCAACTTCAGTATCCACACTAGGTCTATGAATAAATTCACTGCCTGATTATTGGACACCTGATCCTCCAAAAACTAGTGATGAGAGGTGTAGTGCTGCTTCTTGTAGAGATGCTACTCCTCCGAGAGACTCCACATCCATTGTAGAAAGGATACTATGAAGGCATGTCAAAGCTCGTGTCTGTACTCTCTCCAGTCTTAAAGAACCATGAAGATGCTTTGGATATTAGTGTGTCAATAAACATTCATTTTAAGTTTTACATCTCTACCTCTTAATTAGGCACTTCCATGCAGGATCCTGGTAGCATATATTAATAGCCTCAGGATTAGGGAACTCTGTCTTTTTCATCACCTAGGGAGAAAAAAAACATTGCACAAAAAAGTCAGACAATGTAGTTTTGAAGACCACAAAATATAGCAGTGAAGATATTTGCCTTTTTGGGAATGTGATGCTTAATCAAAGCCCCATGAACTTCAGCAGATAAACACAAGGGAGACATAAGACTGGACACTCCATCACAAAGGCCATCTGGCCCTAATTCACTTTCATCACTGCTTGATGACTCCTCCCATTCATCATCTGAAGGATCTGAACAAAAAATAAAATTGGAGATTTTCAAACCAATAAAAGTAGATTTTAGGTACTAGGTCCATAAATATATGGGAATATATAGGAAACATTGGGAATGTCATGTCGTTATTTTACATAGTTTCCCTGATTTGAAATTGGTGGCTTACCATCAGAACAACACATGTTGACAATGATCTCCAAAGATGTTTGTTGGGCTGTCAACAAAGCTGTTGCCTCCCTCAACTCCGCTCTATCCTTCTGCACAAGAATTACATACAAATTACCATTTTAGTAAAACTGCAATCTACACTCCCATAATAAACTGTAACATAGTAACAGCACATATACCAGTGGTTCCCAAATTAGGGTCGAGAGATCATTTTCAAAAATATATATTTTTTAATATATGATTTTAAGCTTTTTTTTTTTTTTTTTTTTACTTTAGTTGATATGTTAAAAATGTAACTGTAATAATAATGTGAGTAAACATAGGATGATTATTGTAATGAACTGGAAATAAACTGGCTGGATGTGAGCCCACATTTTCCTGCTCGTGCGTTTGCACAGTTCAGCACAGAGCCACACAGGGGTGTGGGGGTGTAGTCTGACTTTGGGAATCACAGTCTGAAAAATTCGGAAGCCCCTGGCATACACAAACATGTAAGCACAAATTAATCTAAGTTAATCAATCTGCTAAACTATGTATTTGTTATTGTAGTACTGGTTTGCTGAAATGTCAGAAATAAAAAAAAAAAGTGTACTATTAGTTTGTGCTTCAATTGACGTTTAAGTTTACAACATCAAAGAGCTCCCAATGAGACAATAGATTAGAGCTGTAGTCCTTTAGTTGATAAATCTGTTAGTAGTGTCTTACTCAAAAGATTTTTTTTATTATTCATCTAAATTATTTTATTAGGATGAAAATGATGTATGTGCACAACAGCAGAAAAAGGAGGCATTGAGTGATACATTGCAACAGCCAAGATTGCTTTACCGCCACTGTTGTTGTAATGTAGCACATTTCTGTTGTAGTAAGTCATCTGAACTCCCCAAAATAAATCCCCACTTACAGGCAATAAGTCTGAGACATCATAATCGATATTGGCAGCTTTGCCGTTTAGCTTTGGATTTGGTGCTTCTTCCTCTTCACCCATCTCTTCCACAGGAAAGTCTCTAGAGGTTTCACTTTCCACACCAGCCCCTGTCTTCAGGTGGCGGTCCTCCTCTGCCTGTCTGAGCTTAGGGATCATGACTCCAGCATCTATATCCAAACACTGCGACAAAGTTGCTACAACAGTGTTGAGTATTTGGGCCTGATGAGCAGCAGGAAGACTACCTTTTATGTTCCATAAGGTCCCTAAAAATACAAAAGCAAATTTCTGAGTCTGTACAGCGCCTACACTAGAATTAAAAAATGTACATAAATATCACAGTTACCTGCAGCTAGTGCTCTGAGGAGAGAGTGAGCCATGCTCTCCTGAGATGACAGCAGCACATTTTCCATGACTCCAAATACAGAAGTGTTTACACTACACAGCAGCTCTGGATTATCCTCAGTCACAGTGTGTAAACAGTGAGCTGGTCAACACAAAAGGTTTTAGGGTAAATAATGGGTGTGGTTTATAAAAATGCATACAAGTTAAGGGTTATGAATAGATTTATGAATAAATATAACAGTGATACTATTATGACAATTCAGTTTCTTCCTAGATCCATTTATTTTTCTACAAGAAGATGCTTGTTGGGTTTCACTTAAAGACCTACCAGCAGATATAGCCAGTTCTACATTGTGTGGATATTTCTCCAAACATTGGACAACCACATCCAGGAGACCAGCTTTGTTAAAAATGGACAGAGCTTGAGTATTACTCTCACTGAACAAAAGAAATTACAATATGTTATTATGGTATATGGCAGAAAAGTTGCTTGCAAATACTTTGCACTCTACATTTTATTCTGCAATCCTGTTTATTTCTGGGGTGCATGTGAAACAAAGGAGCGCACTGGTCATCTATCACTTAAAAAAAATATCAAAATTCTCTCACCACAGTTTAGTGCTTTGCTTAGAAATCTTTTTTTTTTTCCTCATTTAATTTCATATTTGTTTTCATATGGACAAGCCAAGTGTGTTCCACATAGGCTAATCACATCCATCTGAATTCTGAGAGATTCAATGGTGACCAGATTCACGTCTTCATTAAGTATAGTAAGTGTGCATTTTGGATCACAGGCAAATATTTTTACATTATATTTGTCTTGGAGTGTTAATTATCCAATTTACATGGAATAAAATCATAAAGTCAACAGTTACCACAGATTCCACAGCAGGTTCACAGCTTCATTAGCGACACACTCCACTGGACTCTTTTTATCATCCATTGGCACAAGAGAAATCTCAAATCCAGAACAGCACTAGGTAAACAAATACCCATAACACAAAAGTAAATTTTGAAAGAAGGTACCAATAAGTAACTCATATTAAAATATATTATATATACATATGTATATATATTTACATATGTAAAGTCAACCTTGAAAAAACATTCAGATGAAAATAAAGTCAAGTCATTTACATTCCCAAAAAGCACCAAAATCTAACCTCTCTCAGCAGAACTGTGAGTGGAGTCATGACGTCATGCTTCACCATATCTTCACATACCTCCTGTCCTCCACAGGCACTTAGATTCCTGTCCAGGTGGAAGAGATCCACACTTCATCACACATTTTTAATGATGTTCATATTATATGAACCACATTGTTCCACACATAATTGTCCTGAATTGCGCATATAAAATGCTCTTTCAAAAACTCAAACCCAGCAAATTCACTTCGAGCAATTCATTTACTGAATTGCTCCAACACTTCTAATTATCCTAGGGCTGTGCAAAAGTTTTTTGTGTGTGTCCATGCATAACAAGCCAATGTTAGCAAGAAGAAAGTGATCACTCTAATTTTTGTTTGTTTTTTTCATGCATACACCTATGTGGTTACTATAACACTATCACAATATCAGATAAAACAAAGAGTTGTGTTATTTACAAGTACATATCCATGACCTGAGTTGCTAGCTCATCATCATTCCCACCTCAGCGCTCCTGTTGCGGTTTCTCTGACAGCAACACTGCTGTCCAACAGCATGGGGCCCAGGCGCCTCACTGCATCCCTTTGCAGGAACCCTGGTATAGTGTGGCTCTGCTGCACTATGCGAGAAATGCTGGCACATGCGAACTCTCGCACATCTGCGCTGGGGCTCTGTAACTATATGAATATACTCATATCATCATATCGGCATTCAAAAACGCTTTCCCAATTTAATTTAATTAATGTATTTAAACAATGTATGGAATTAAACCGTTAATAACAATAGGGGCTGTATGGACGGAATTGGCACTGAAAACATTGCATAATGTTTCACCGATTAAGTTGTCAAGATTAGATCATCTTGGTCCCAAACGTGTAAAGTAGCATGCGGTCCTCAAAACGAAGACATCACAATCAACTAAGTATTAGAGCTTGGCAAACAAATGTACTTATTATGCATTTGCTCATACTTTCTCCAACAGCTCAGCAGCAGGACAGCTCTCGTCGCCGTAGTTTTCGTCTCCATCCTCCTCTTTAACTGCGTTGACTGGTAACCCCACCGCATTAAATTGTGGGCGTTTGAATTTGGTGGTTTTGCTCTTTCCCATTTCAACAGGAATCAATGTATTTTTGAGAAGAGGAATTTTTCTGACAACTTATCAAATTAGTACGGTTTGGAGTCGGAGGCCATGTGGAAGATCGCTGCTGAACGGTGCCGTAAACCGATGACAGGTAGTGTCGTAAAGTGTCGTAAAGCCTCGTATAGTAAGGGGGAAAAATGGCGAGCAGTATTTTAGCCATATAAAGATTAAACAACAAAATATTCAGAGATAAAGAAAACACATTTAACCATTTATTTCCTAATAATATTAAAAAAGAAACATCTAAAAGTGTCCACTCAGCATAAAAAGCAAGTTTAGTTCATGAATTGGCATAAATGCAGTGACTCGAATAAAAGTTTTCCTTCCAACGGGGTGCAAATTTACTTAAAACCACTTCAGAGACAAGCTAAACACAAGATTAATTGATAACCATGTTGCTAGGTGATGGTCACTGGATATTGGGCCTTGGCTTTAGAATGAGTTTTCCAGTCTGTAATAGAAACATAAAATATATGGTATTAGATAACACAGGTGATATTGGGCATAAAACTGCAACCTAACATTTGTAACTTACATCATCACAAGACATGTTGTATTCCGCTAAAACTGTTCGACAACGAGCAGCAATACTAAAGTATGAAAAGTCAAAGGAAAAAATAACGTGTTCTGTGTAAGATGTGTAATACATCATAATTTCACATTAGAGGCATTTCAATATTTAATAAAGTTTTAATATATTAACAATGATTAATACAAATTGTAAAGTAAAGGATACATTGATGGTGCCACAACCCGTTTGTGTATGCCAGCAAAGAATAGCGCAATAAGAGTGATGCAGCTAAGGGTAAAAAAGGGGTGATTCCAAAGTGATGAAAAAAATGACACCTAGAATGTAAAAACAAAGACATAAGGAGAACATTAAGTGCAAATGTAAGCCAGTGTTTTAGTCTAATCCCAGTTTTTCAACTTTGTGTCATGCTCACGTCCATCTAGGTCTCCAAATGAAAGTCCTCAGACTCTTTTGGGTCCTCATTGTTTTTGTTTTATTTTGTGTTATATATTATATTAAAATTAATTAATTAATATGAATCAAAATAAAGTCCAAGGCTCAAAAATACCTCCTTTTTCTAGTCCCTAACCTTTAAGAGCCACATCATGAGGTTAACAATAAGGCCCAAGGAGCAGTGAGGAGAAGGTGCCATTGCCTATTTTCGTGGACCTGAATCCTCCTCCAGTCGTCTACTCGGCACTCTCAGAAACCCTAACACAGTTCCAACACAACATAATTTTATGGAGTGGAGTCACCAGCCATAGAAGAGACTTGGAAAACAAGTTACAAGTCAGAGTCTGGTACTTCTCTGGTTAAGATATTATAACCTATACAAATGTCATAACTTGTTACATCATTGTAATTACAAGATGTTTCCTCACAAACTAAGTAAAATAATTCTAACCTTAGCATTTTGCTAAATCACTATCACTATCATTCACATTTTATTTATTTGTTGCTGTTTAAAAATACAGTCATCTCAGTACATCTGTACCATTTCAAAATAATATGTAACCAAACCTTTTGTGTATCAGGGTCTATCAACCAGTTCCATGCCCCAGTAGCCGTGCAAACAGACACCACTATCAAAATCACTGCAAAGACATTGCATTTAACAAATTACAGCAAATATATCAAAGAATACATTGCATTTACATGCATTGAAGAAATAAAAACGTTTAATTTGCTGTAACTTACTTCTCCATCTCCCTGTAGCAGGTTGCAGACATGAGACATATTCTGTAAGTCTTCTTTCAAAAGCCTTCAAGTCTGTGAAGATGTTTACATATTATTTAACCCTTAACATTTATATACAAACACTATACTGTCAGTGTTGCACGGTTGATGTTAAAAGCCAGAGTAGGGCATCTATTACACGAGTTATGGGTTATGGAAAGGCACACCGGTAAAACCATTAGCTTAGTTAGTAATGCAAGTTAGCACACATGCTAACGTTAGCTGTTAGGTGGGATTCGCATTAGCAACCCAAAACCTGAACACAAAAAGGTGACGTGTTGTTGTTACGTAATTGCTTTTGCTATTGTGTTTGTATGTTTCTTTCTTTGTTTGTTTGGGTTTTTTTGTTTTTGTCAAAAGCCTATGAAATGGACGACTAAATACAGTTAAATAGTTTGTTGGAGTACCTTCGGCTTGTTCCAAAGAATTCATGTCTGGAAGCCTGGCAGCCTGGCAGCCTCCTCCTTGGCTGAAGTCGCGCTCTACTTCCGCCTGCGTTCGCTGATGGACACGTCTTCCAACCAATCCGGGTCAGTTTTTTTTTTTTTTTGACGTAGTAGTGGCGTGAACTGTGTGTAGATAAAACATGTACTGTCTGCCATAACTGCACTGTATCTACCTTTGCTGTTTTGTCATGTTGTTGTGTTTCTGTAATTAATTAATTAATTAATTATGTTTTTAATTGTGATAATAATAATAATAATAATAATAATAATAATAATAATAATAATAATAATAATAATACAATTACTTATTATTATTATTATTACTTATTATTACTTCTGAGTATTAAAGTCTCAGATACAAGACAATATTACTCAAACATGCATGAGTCAATCAAAAAACAAACGTGAAGCTAATTATGACGGTACATTTATATATAATATATAACAAGGTCAAAAATGAATTAAAGCTGATGTTGCATAATATGTCCTCATAGCTATTACTATGGTAAAAAGGCAACTGGTTGACAGTGTCAATTTTTCATCACTTCATGTTTATCACTTCCATTAACATTTTTATATAAAGCATAAACTACGAAAGAGCATTGTAGTCAGTGAAAAAAAAAAATCTGGAGGGGGGATTATCTCTGTGATCGTAAAAATATACAAGAATATAAGTAGCGTTATATAAAAATAGTATTTAGACTGGGATCTACCTCAAGAGATGGAGTTATCCTGACTCCTGACCTCACATCGTCTTCATCACGTTAGCTGCTACTGTCGCTAACTTTCCTACTGCACTCGTCCAAACTGATAAAACACACACAGTCACAGATGTACACACACCACAATATAACGTTAACGTTATGTATATTAATGATGACTAATACAATTAACTTTTAAACTATTACTTACAGTTAAATCCGCAGACAACAGGTGGATGCTGCTTCTTTCCACTCAGGTGGAAAGCCGGTTTAGCCGCGGATCCGCGCATTGAGTGCGTATACATGCACATCAATAACTCGGTTATTAGCCATATCCCGGTTATGTGAGTATTCGGGTTACTGCGTATACATGCGCACCGAGAAACCGGGATACTCATATCGTATACATGATCAAATGGAGTATCCCGGTTTCTTGACATAATCTTACAAATGCGCAGGCGCAAAAATTAACTTAAATCAATTTCATAAACCAGGAAAAATACAAACCGTGAGCTCCTTTAGCATAAGAAGCTAAGGAGCGATTATGTCAAGAAACCGGGATACTCCATTTGATCATGTATACGCGAATATGAGTATCCCGGTTTCTCAGTGCGCATGTATATGCAGTAACCCGAATACTGAGTGCGTATACATGCACATCAGTAACCCGGTTATTAGCCATACCCCGGTTATGTCAGTATTCGGGTTACTGCGTATACATGCGCACTGAGAAACCGGGATACTCATATCCGCGTATACATGATCAAATGGAGAATCCCGGTTTCTTGACATAATCTTACAAATGCGCAGGCCCAAAAATTAACTTAAATCAATTTCATAAACCAGGAAAAATACAAACCGTGAGCTCCTTTAGCATAAGAAGCTAAGGAGTTACGAGATATCCCACAATCCACTGTGCAGATTCTTCATTAAAATCTTCTGCATAAATAAACTGAACTTTACAACATATAAACCATAAAGACTATAGAGCTACATCAGCCCGTTTGATCATATAATTCAGCTGTGATCACATTTGTTTACGTTTTACAGAAACGAAATTTAAGACCGTAGGCTAATTAGCATAAACTATTAGCGGCGATAAAAACAACTCGCTCCTTGCGCCGCTGATGTGATCAGTTTCTTTTGGACTAAATGACACGACTCTGTGGATTATGTGTGTTATTTCTGTGACAGAAGAGGCGCTAATGATGGTAAGTGTGTTTCGTGCGTATAGTGTATAGGAGATAGTTCATGTTTTAGCTTTTCAGCGATCACACGAGTGCAGATTGTACGTGTGCAGGTTTAGCGCAGCTCTTTATTTTACAGTCATTTCACTCGTTTGGTCACTTTATTTATGTTGGTCAATTTATTTATGTGACTACTGTTGTGGTGAAAGGCTGGAAAGTGTCTTTTGGACGCATGCGCACTCAACTTTATGTTGCAGTAACCGGGGTACTGCGTATACATGCCACAAGTAACCCGGTTACTATGAGTGCGTATACATGCACATCAATAACCCGGTTATGATCGGGTTTTTTGAGTATCCCGGTTTCTTGATGGTGCATGTATACGCAGTAACCCGGTTATGGCAGTATCCCGGTTATTAGAAACCGGGTTACTGTAGCTGGGTTATTCCGATAGTAACCGGGTTACTTGTGGCATGTATACGCAGTACCCCGGTTACTGCAACATAAAGTTGAGTGCGCATGCGTCCAAAAGACACTTTCCAGCCTTTCACCACAACAGTAGTCACATAAATAAATTGACCAACATAAATAAAGTGACCAAACGAGTGAAATGACTGTAAAATAAAGAGCTGCGCTAAACCTGCACACGTACAATCTGCACTCGTACGACCTGCACTCGTGTGATCGCTGAAAAGCTAAAACATGAACTATCTCCTATACTCTATATGCACGGAACACACTTACCATCATTAGCGCCTCTTCTGTCACAGAAATAACACACATAATCCACAGAATCGTGTCATTTAGTCCAAAAGAAACTGATCGCATCAGCGGCGCAAGGAGCGAGTTGTTTTTATCGCCGCTAACAGTTTATGCTAATTAGCCAAACGGTCTTAAGTTTCGTTTCTGTAAAATGTAAACAAATGTGATCACAGCTGAATTATCTGATCAAACGGGCTGATGTAGCTCTATAGTGTTTATGGTTTATATGTTGTAAAGTTCAGTTTATTTATGCAGAAGATTTTAATGAAGAATCTGCGCAGTGGATTGTGGGATATCTCGTAGCTCCTTAGCTTCTTATGCTAAAGGAGCTCACGGTTTGTATTTTTCCTGGTTTATGAAATTGATTTAAGTTAATTTTTGCGCCTGCGCATTTGTAAGATTATGTCAAGAAACCGGGATACTCCATTTGATCATGTATACGCGGATATGAGTATCCCGGTTTCTCAGTGCGCATGTATACGCAGTAACCCGAATATTGACATAACCGGGATATGGCTAATAACCGGGTTATTGATGTGCATGTATACGCACTCTATCGGAATAAACCAGCTACAGTAACCCGGTTTCTAAACCGGGATACCGGGATACTGCCATAAACCGGGTTACTGCGTATACATGCACCATCAAGAAACCGGGATACTCAAAAAAACCCGATCATAACCGGGGTTACTGACGTGCATGTATACGCATTGCGTATACATGCACATCAGTAACCCGATAATCCCCCCCCCTCCCCCGGCCCTTATCTCGTAATTACGAGATAATCCCCCCTCCCCTCCCCCCTCCAGATTTTTTTTTTTTTTTTTCACTGACTACAATGCTCTTTCGTAATAAACAAATTATATACATATTAAATAATAATTATTAATCAAGATTATGTTATTCTTAAAATGAATTGCCCAATTTATTAGATTTTGTTTATAAGTAATAAATCTAGAGGCTTACATGATACAGAAAATGGTTTTAAGGTTTTATGAAAAATGGTTTTCATTTTATTGGTTTTCAGTCAAGTATTTCGAACTTGGTTCCATTTGTAATGTGTGAACATTACTGTCATGGCAGTCAACTTAACATTACAATGCTTACAACAAAACCTTTCTGCACCATTTGTGTACTTAACTAAGGTCAAAAAAAAAGAAGAAAGAAAGCTCAAAAGTAAGTGGGATTTTTTTTTTATTATTTTTTTTTACTCCCACCCCCATTACACATTAAGTGGTTGCTTTCACAAACACAGATAACAACAAGTGTTGTAATTATTTAACAGTACTCATACAAATACTTAGTACTACTAATAATAATGTCTCCATATATTGGTTCTATTATTATAAATAACATTAATAAAACCTTAATAATACATACAATATGAATGAATAAATGAATTAACTTATTAAAGTGTCATACACTCACGTGCCAAGCCCATATGCGTTTATATGACACTATCATATACATAAAGGAAGATGTCCATCAAAAATTCAGAAAATGAAATAACTGTGTGTAAAATTGTGCAACATTAATTACACAGTAAGTATAACTAGTGTGAGGAAACATCCATCATTTAATTTAGGCATACAGATTAGCAACACCAAATTTAACATTTTATACATTGTTTTCATGGTTAACATTCAGACAACCAAATGAAATCTTTCATTGCAGTTTAAGTCAGTTTTTTGTTTATTTGGCTTGATATTTTTTCAGAGAGTGTACATTAGTGTCTTGTCAACTGGCTGCAGTTTATTGACCAGCCTTACATTGAATTCTTCACACAAAATTTTCTCCACTTCCTCATCACTGACATTCTTCATGTCGTAAAAATCAACACCATTATCAGGGCTGTATGTGACGCGGCTGAATATCCAGCCAATAAGAGCTTTGAATCCAGTTGGTGTTTGCAGTGAACAGATGGATTTGTTCGTAAACAGTGTTGTAGGATCTGTTTGAAGTTTGTAGCACGTCTCAGTGAAATGATCCTGGCCTCGTGGCTTCAAGGAAAAGCAGTAGATTGGTTTTGTTAGCTTTGTGTTCACCAGGCGTGATTTGGCAAATTCTGGATCGAGTACTTCAGGTTTTCTACCAGTTTTTTCCAAGACCCACATGTCCCCTTTGTCGAAGAGACAGAAAACACCTGCAGCCTGACTTTGAGCTTTCCCTGAGACAAGTTCCAAGGGCTCCCACATTTGGCTAGAAACCCCAAAGCTTACATCTGCAATATAAGCTTTCCCGTCTATCACAACCTTGTTTATGAGATGAGAGTCAAGAGGACCAAAGTCATTTAGAGAATTGTTAAAAACTTTAGAGCCAAGAGTTATGCGGTTATAGCCCATTTCTTGCAATACCCAACCAAAAAGGAAGTTGTTTTCAAGGCACCAGCCCCCTCGATTGCCATTTATTATCTTGTTAAAGATGACCTCAATGTCCATGACGATCTTTTCTCCACAGTGAATGCTGAGGTTTTCAAAAGGAATGGACATTACATGCAGTTTATGGATTAACTTCAGAGTTGCAAGGTCTGCTTTCTCGAAGGATCCAGAAAAACCAATCCTTTTGAAATACTGTTTCAGGTCCATCATACCTGTAAAAGATGCATACGTTTTTTTTTTTTTTTTTTTTTGTTTGTTTTGTTTTTTAATCTTTTCAACATGCTTTTATTCAGTTATTAATTATTAATTATTCGCACATGGAACTAGGCTTGTATTCATGAATTTATGTAACCCTAGCAGCAGTGTTGTGCATGAACGAGTTCAAAAGAACGCGTTCATTGAACACGTTAATTTTTCAGTGAACTTTGAACTGAACGCAACACTTTTGTAAATCAAGAACTTGAACGTGAATTTGTTCAGATTATGTGTGATGAACGACGTACGTCACTGTTGGGGTTCAGTTAAACGTCGGAATTAGTTTTCACCTGACGAGTGACGATCTGCTCGCACTTCACCTCGCGAAACCACAGCCGCGTGTCAACGCGAAGGCGACTCCACCGGCAGCTTTAGCGGAACGTACGGGCTCTTGTGTCTCTCAATGGGAAGTCAGTCAAACTTGACTGGGCGCGTTTAGCTGCTTGGATTTACCTTCTGTACAGGCTGACCACGGCAAACACAAGGATTTCAAAAGTAAATTTCAAAGCACTAATTAACAGTCTATGTGGATCTGGGCTCTTTCACATGATACACAACTGCCCAGGGAGCACAATGTGCTGATGGTAAATGCACAAATACAACAATAGATACGTACTCTCTGTGTATTTTGACGGGGATACGCGCCTACGTGTAGAGCGTCAAAAAATAGGATGGATCCTATTTTCTGAAATCTACACGCACAGGACGTGCTGCTCCGCGCGCTTATTATTTTACTTGGTACATATGTCAGTAACGCGCGTCACAATGCTTTTTTAACCTTGATTGAAATGGTGGGTTTTTCGTTTTTCTTCATACAAATTTCCTAAAATCACCGCCCGCGATATCAGCAGCGGTGAAACGCCGGAGGTGCGCCCGCGTAGACCGTGATCCTGAGCGAAAAGAACCGACGCAGAAGTCCGCGCTCCACCGAGATAAACGCAGCTGACGCCCGATCGCACTCGGGGTTCTCTCAGGGACGGTCCTAGATTGCAAGTTCTAGTCCAGGTTTAGTCTTGGTTTAGTCCTGGTTCAGTCCTGGTTCAGTCCTGGTTCAGTCCTGGTTTAGACCTAGTTCAATTCTGGTTCAGTCCTGGTTTAGTCTTGGTTTATTCCTGATTTAGACCTTGTTCAGTCCTGGTTCAGTTCTGGTTTAGTCCTGGTTAGTCTTGGTTCACAGTTCTGGTTTATTCCTGGTTCAGTTCTGGTTTAGACCTGGTTCAGTCCTGATTTAGACCTGGTTTAGTCCTGGTTTAGACCTGGTTCAGTTCTGGTTTAGTCCTGGTTCTGTTCTGGTTTAGACCTGGTTTAGTCCTGGTTTAGACCTGGTTCAGTCCTGGTTTGGACCTGGTTCAGTCCTGTTTTAGACCTGGTTCAGTTCTGGTTTAGTCCTGGTTTAGACCTGGTTTAGTCCTGGTTTGGACCTGGTTCAGTCCTGGTTTAGACCTGGTTCAGTTCTGGTTCAGTCCTGGTTTAGACCTGGTTTAGACCTGGTTTAGTCCTGGTTTAGTCCTGTTTCAGTCCTGGTTCAGTCCATATACGGCGCAAAAGTTCAGCATCTTAACAGTTCTTTTGGTGAGAGTAAATTAAAAGTGCTGCAATAGTCATGTAATGTTTTACATTTTAAATACAGTAATATTGTAATGTAACAAATGACTCTGAAATGACAATAACAAGTCATAAATAACACATTACAGTTTTAAAGTCACTTGTCCAACAGTGTATCTTGTAAAGTTGTTGTAAACTAGAAGTCAGTTTGAAAAATAAATGCAGCCTTTCATTTACAGATCTCATCTAAATATAAAATGAACTGAACTTTGAACTAGTTCAAAATAAAAATTGTGACCTATGAACGTGAACTGTTCACTTTGAACAAATGTGAACTGAACTTTGAACTAGTTCATGAAAAGTGTGAACTTGCACAACACTGCCTAGCAGTATGGCTGTAGCCGAGTGAAGACAACGCATTTCAGTAGTTCAACCAGAATAGTAGAATGGTCTTTCAGTGAAGAGTACGGCATTTGTAGTGAAGTCAAGGCTATAAAATACTTATCTGTAGTTTGAGTAATTTGCCCTTACCAAATTATGCTCCAAAGTTGATCTGTAGCTGTACCGAGCTGGACAATATCTATGTGACGCAGGAGAAAAAAGTTATGAGAAAAGTCACTCCCTTACTAAGTTGGTCTTCGCCACCTGCAGGAACTTCGTAACAGTACACATTTTTTTCTCATCAGCACTACTACGTTGGCGTGCAACCTGATACTAGTATTTACAACACATATGGACTAGGTAGATAGCAAAAGGCATGTAAACACAGAACTATAATAATTTTATAATAGATCCATGCATGTAAATCGTTAAAAGAAACGCACGGAGGAAGAACCCGAGAAGTCCTAGATCCATGGATAACTCTTTCAGTGTAAAAGACATAAAATGCTATTAATGATTCTAATGTTTTGTTTTGTGTCCTGGCCGATAAAACTACGTCTTTACTATGATTACGTCTTTAAAGTCGTAAAATTACGACTTCATTGTCGAAATGTTACTTTATTCGCGTAGCGCCACGGCTGAAGTGACGTTAATACATCCATGGGCGGAAGGCGGCAGCCTGCTACACACTCTACAACCACAGACCGTATATATCTATGTTTACAACACCGCAATATCGTGAGATTGAGGTGGCTACAGGCGCCTTACAAGACGGGTAAAGGCAAAAAAGGCAATCGCAGCTGCCTACCTGCCTTCATGACCCACAAAGCCCAAATGTATCTTGGTAAATGGTCAAACACGGGCACTGACAGCTGATTGGACACTATGTTTTTGATGCTGACCAGGAGCGTCCCTCCCTCCTCTTTCATCTCACATCGATTTACTTTATATCACCACATAATCTTATAATCAAATTAAAAAGGGCCCGGTTGTTGGACTACACAGACACATGATTGATGTCTACTCGTGATGAGCTAAAAGTCATTTTCACCACAGGTCAGGCCAAAGCGTGTGAACTTTATTGTGAGCGTTGTGCTCTTTACTCAGGTGACGTGGTGTCAATCCATGGTATATGGAGAAACAGAGGATGCATATCCAAAGTTTTATGTTGTTTTATTCAGCGCAACACATAAAATGAACACGAGATCTGTCTTGTCATCGGAACTCTGCGTCATCTGAGGCCGTCTGGCTGTTCTCGCACTCGTGGAGTGTCCAAGCTAATTTCAGCCTTAATTTTCCTCCTCCCATCCTTAGGTCCGTTTTCACACATTACTGTCATGGCAGTCAACTTAACATTACAATACTTACAACAATACTTAATATTTACAACTACTACTACTAATAAAAATAATGATGTAGCCACATCCATATTATATAACATTAATGAAATCATAATAATACATACTATAACAACTGTGTATAATATTAATTACAGTTAGTGTAACTATAGTGTGAGGAAATATTCATCATTTGATTAAGTCAAACAAAATGTTGATTAGTCTGAATCTAAACCATGAAAACAAAGGTCATCTGAGGCCCACTTTTTTCAGAGAGTGTACATTAGTGGCTTGTCAACTGGCTGCAGTTTATTGACCAGCCTTATATTGAATTCTTCACACAAAATTTTCTCTACTTCCTCATCACTGACGTTCTTCATGTCATAAACATCAACACCTTTATCAGGGCTGTATGTGACGCGGCTGAATATCCAGCCAACAAGAGCTTTGAATCCAGTTGGTGTTTGCAGTGAACAGATGGATTTGTTCGTAAATATTGTTGTAGGATCTGTCTGAAGTATGTTGCATGTCTCAGTGAAATGATCCTGGCCTCGTGGCTCCAAGGAGAAACTGTACATTGGTTTTGTTAGCTTTGTGTTCACCAGGCGTGATTTGGCAAATGCTGGATCGAGTACTTCAGGTTTTCTACCAGTTTTTTCCAAGACCCACATGTCCCCTTTGTCGACAAGACAGAAAACACCTGCAGCCTGACTTTGAGATTTCCCTGAGACAAGTTCCAAGGGCTCCCACAGTTGTCTAGAAAACCCAAAACTTACATCTGCAATATAAGCTTTCCCGTCTATTACAACCTTGTTTATGAGATGATTGTCAAGAGGATCAAAGTCATTTAGAGAATTGTTAAAAACTTTAGAGCCAAGAGTTATGCTGTTATAGCCCATTTCTTGCAATACCCAACCAAAAAGGAAGTTGTTTTCAAGGCACCAGCCCCCTCTATTGCCATTTATTATCTTGTTAAAGATTACGTCAAGATCCATGACGATCTTTTCTCCACAGTGAATGCTGAGGTTTTCAAAGGGAATGGACATTACATGCAGTTTATGTATTAACTTCAGAGTTGCAAGGTCTGGTTTCTCAAAAGATCCAGAAAAACCAATCCTTTTGAAATACTGTTTAAGGTCCATCATAGCCTGCCTGTAAAAGATGCATGAATAACTCTTGATCATTTCAACAATATACGAAACTACATAAGTTACATAAGTAAAAAACTAAAACTTACCCCATGCTTCTATTTAATATATAGAATATGGAATTTGTATTCTTCAAAGCAATAATAAAAACACGGCATAGCTAATAGGCATATACCTACTGCGTACGTAACTCTAGAAGAATCGCTATTCGAGTGCGGACAAAAAAAAAAAATTCTGGATTAGGACATTTTGGTAGTTCTACAGTATTTGTAATGAAGTAGGGTAGGCCTAAAATGCGTATCTGTAGTTTAAGTTGAAAATGTGCCACTACCAAATTATGTTCCCTATTTGATCTGTAGCTGCACAAGGTCCAAAGGCGTCATATAGAAGGAGGAATAAGTTATCCTAAAAGTCCCTCCCTTACAGAGTTGGTCTTCGCCACCAGCAGGAACTACTTTCGTAACAGTAACCACAAACATTATTTTCTCACCAGCACTACTCTGCGTAGGCGTCCAACATGATACATTTACAACACATATGGGTTGTAATGGTATTTATTAGGTAGAAAGTAAAACGCATGTAAATCGTAAAAAAAAAATAATAATAAAAAAAAAAAAAAAAAAACGCACGCAGGAAGAAGGACCCAAGAAGTTTTCTCAGATAAATCTTTCAAGGTAAAAGACATAAACTGCAATTAATGCTTCTAAAGGTAATAGTGCGTGTTTTTGTTTGTTTGTTTGTTTACAGTGGACTTTTAAAAAACGCAGCAGGACATCTAACTGGTAATTTGTGGTCAAAGGTAAACCTAAAAAATATAACGTTAATACTTCCGGTCTCGGCCTCACTCGCTTGACTCGACACGGACAACAACGTGTGCGAAATTTACCAGGTAAAATTGCACTAAATTCAAGATTTGGCTGTGTTAGAAGTGACCATTAATATCTTGTATGGTTTTCGTAGGGTTTAAATGGTTATTTTGGGGCGTTTTATTCAGAGCTAACGTTATATACCGAAACTACTACGAAGTAATTGACAAAACTCGGTGAGAGGTTGATGTTAGTACATTACTTAACTTTTTGTTGTCATTTTTTTTTTTTCAGATTTCCGTAAGTCATGTGAATATGGAAAGAATTGTTCATTAAATGTATGCTTGGTGCTCAATATGTGGTTCACGTTTAGCTAGCGTCCTAACCTAACCTAACTTTTGCTCCAAAGTCTAAGTTGTTGTTATGTTGTTATTTCAGAGTTGATTTAATATGGACCTTTCTTTTTCGGTGTTGATAACGGGTGGAAGTGGATATTTTGGTTACCGGTAGGTTGTATTTTATGCTTCAACAGTCTACCTCAGTTGGCGCAATAAATAATCCATCAACAAGGTGGCGGTGTCACACAAATGTTTAAATGCTATGTGCAATGCATTAAATGCAATGTGGAATTTGTTGGTATTTATTTTATTTTTATTTTTTTTTGTAGTTTTACTTGAAATATTTTTGTTGGATTTAACTAATTGTTGTTAAATTGTGCCCTACAGATTAGCTTGCACCCTCCAGGAAAAGGGGGCCAAGGTTACTCTGTTTGACATAGCCCCACCCCTGCAAGAACTGACAGAGAATGTGACATTTTTGCAAGGTGATGTGAGAGACTATGGACAAGTCAAGAGAGCTGTCATGAATGTGGATTGTGTGTTCCACATTGCTTCATATGGCATGTCAGGCAGGGAACAACTTAATTGGAAGTTAATTGAAGCCGTGAATATCGAAGGCACACAAAATGTTCTAAAAGCTTGCATCGAGCATGGGGTGTCTAGACTGGTGTACACTAGTACATTCAATGTGGTGTTTGGCGGCCAAGAAATAGAAAATGGAGATGAAAGTTTACCTTATCTTCCGCTCCATCTTCATCCAGACCACTATTCCAGAACCAAATCTCTGGCTGAAATGGCTGTATTAAAAGCCAACGGGACAGTGCTGCAAGATGGTTCTGGGGTGCTAAGAACTTGTGCTTTAAGACCTGCTGGTATTTATGGGCCTGGGGAACAGAGGCATCTACCTAGAATTGTAAGTTACATTGAGAAGGGAATTTTCAAGTTTGTATATGGGAAACCAAACAGCCTTGTGGAGTTCGTTCATGTGGATAACTTGGTGTCAGCACATACCCTGGCTGCTGAGGCTCTGTCTGCAGAAAAACACCATATTTCTGCTGGTAAAGCCTACTTTATTTCTGATGGCCAACCTGTCAACAATTTTGAATTTTTTAGACCACTTGTTGAGGGATTAGGATACTCTTTTCCAAATCTGCGTTTGCCAGTGACTCTGATTTATTACACTGCATTTCTTCTAGAGATGATTCATTATGTGATTGGCCCCTTCTATAACTTCCAGCCTCTTTTGACCCGTACAGAAGTGTACAAAACAGGTGTGACACATTACTTTAGCATGGCCAAGGCGATGTCAGAATTAGGTTATAAGCCACACAAGTATAATCTTGATGAAGTTGTCCATTGGTTCAAAAGTCGAGGCCATGGGAGAAAGGTTCAAAGCTCTGGATTTGGTCAATTTATGCTAAATGTGTTATTTGTTACTGCAGTTGCTGCTATAATACTGTCTTTCCTTCCAGTAGCTGGTAGTTGATGAATAGTATTTAACTTTTTTGTCTGATGATAAACTTAAGATAATTAGAATTATTATACTGAATGTATGCATTCACAAAATGTAATTTCATGGCAATATAATGCATTGTGTATGCATGCAGTGGCTATTATTACATAATAAAAGTTACTGTAAAATATGCTGTGCTTTGTCATGCATGATGCTTGTTTGAACATACTAACATTACAATTCTATTAGTTATAACTTATTAGATGGCGTGGAACGCATTTTGTCCAAGTTACAGAATGCACTGTCTCTGTTACAAAAGGTAAACAAACTTGAGCTGGTTCTCTATTAAGGAGTCGTACCAGGTGAGGGATGCTTTATATTCCATTTTAGTTAGCCTGGATGAATGCAGACGTCCCCTTTATTTTCTAAAGTCTTCTCTTTTTAAAGCCGGCAGCCCCTTGCTGAGTTGGTCGCAATCATTGTTTCTCTGCAGCATTAACCACATTCCACAGAGGCGCAGTACACCCGGTCTCCATCCTCGCATTCCTGCCACACAAAAAAGTCCCTTGAATGAAATGGGATTTGTTTGTGTTTTAGGATGCTTTATTATTAATAACGTTCACATGGGCGTTACATGCATTACATATACATTTGTACCTAACTTACTTTTTAAGCAAACTACGGAGAAATTGCATTTAGCGCAAAAACTAACAAGGAGAAATTCCTCCGCGCAGCGCGCCGTTGACTGTAAAGACCTTTCAACTTAACAAAAACCCAAGTTGACAAACGTATCCCTGCCGGCTGAAACGGTAAGAAAGAGTTTGTTTTTTTCCACTGGACGTTGCCGAGCAAAGGAAGAGGATGTGTTCAACGATGGCGCACACTGAAAACAGGCAGTTTTCCTTAAATGAGCAGCGGGTGTACCTCCGCGTTTTGTTTTGATTTCCATGTGAAACGCAATTAGCGCTTCGCAGTGCTAGCTTGTTGGACATCGGCGCACACACTACTTGTTTTAAGCTTCGGAGGCGAAACATGGAGCACTATCAACAGGATTTAGGACTAAGGACCACGAGTCTGATGGAGGACCTTTCCCTGTATGATGCATACAATGATGGGATGTACAATACGAGAAGAGACTTAGACTTCCCTGCTCCTAATGTGGAGCATGCAAGTGCACCAATGAACGGATCGTCTGTGCTTCTCCAGCAACATCACACAGTGGAGAATTTTACATGTGGAAGTAAAGTGTACAATGCTGCTCCGGTGCGGCCGGTGAACTGTAACCGAGCTGTGTCTGCGGATTTTTGTGCGCCTCAAAGAGACACGCTGTACGGTGAAGAGGGTTGTTGCACCCAGTCTGAAGTAGCACTGCCGTGTTACACAGGCGAGAGACATCGGAGGTATTCCCTGGAAGTGTTGGGCCACAGGTACAGCACCGGCTCCTCTTTTGACGGTGTTTCACTCAACAAACCCGCGGCAGTGTCCAGCAACAGGTGCAACAGCGTATGCATTACAAGCAATCATGATTGTAAATACAATGCAACCAGCCCGCGATCCAGTCTGGCGTCTTCTCTGTCCTCTCAAGAGCAAAGCAAGCACGCCAGTCCCAGGTCAAGCATTAGCAGTCCTCGCACGAGTCTTGTGGTCCCGGGCCCAGACAGGTACACGAGTCCTAGGTCTAGTTTAGTTCACTGCGAGGGAAACGGCATAATTAGTCCTAGGTCTAGCTATGCAAGTAGCGCTAGCGACACAAGTAAACAGTCTAGCCCAAGGGCCAGTGTAAACAGCTGTGACTGTTGCAGTAAGCCCAGTAGTAATCGCACCAGTGGGATAAGTATGGGCTACGATCAGAGGCATACTAGCCCCCGGTCCAGCACAGCTAGCCAGTACTCCTTCACTACCAGCCCCAGGTCAAGCTACTCTGACTCCCGCTATGGGCCCATGCTCAACCACGACATGGATGGGGGCATTTTACACGCGCCCCCGTTGGCCAGCCCTCGATCCAGCATCTGCAGTCAGGATGGCACTTCTCGACCAGGACCCACTACTAATTCTGTGGCCAGTCCCCGCTCCAGTATCTCCAGTCACAGCTCCAGAAGTTCTCGCAGCTCTAGAGGGTCAATGAGCACTTATCCGGACTTACAAATGCCGTCGCCCCGTTCATCTATGCTGGGCACCAATTTGCAGGAGGACACGCTTCTACAGGATTATGGGGACTCAAGTGGCCTTCAGACCCGTGTGCACCTCCAAGGACTTTTGCCAGTTCCAGATGCGCAGCAGCTGTCCTGTGGCCCTGGAGAAGCGAGTGGCGGTTCATCCTCAGTAGTTGGTTACAACGCGAAGTCAACGGGCCAAAGGATGAAACTTCCCTACCAGGTGACCCCCGGTAGGGAAAATGGGCCCAGCCAGGCTGAGAAGCGGCTAGAGGCGCTCACACTGGAACTCGAGAAGGAATTGGAAATGCACATAAAAAAGGAATATTTTGGTAGGTAATTGCGGTTTTGGGAGGGTCTGGGTATTGCTAGGACTTATTGAATAATAAGAAGATAATTGTGCTATATTATTGAATGCTTGCATGTATTTTCCTTTTCCTAGTCCATGCTCCTTACCCTCCTCTGACTACACGAGTACTTACTAAACAGTATTTAGTTATAAATAATTGTTACTGTAGCAACAGCTGATAAATAATTTGTGGAGAGAACTATTGAAGGACTGAAATAGTGTACTTGTCTTCATTGTATCACTGTTAAACTAAAAGATGTTTTAAGGCACCAAAGTTGTCCTCTTTCTACCTAGCAGTGATGACATAATGGCTTTAGTCTGATTTACTATTGTAGGCTTAAAAATGCCTATTAGAGAGTCACCTTACACAGGGTCACGTTGGATCTACACTTCAACAAAAAAGTCGCTTGGTGTATTACTTTATTTCTTGGCTGTTGTTTGCTGAATTAGTAAATTTGTTTGTTGCACCTGTTGTTTGGTTTGCTTGGAAAATGGGTTAAACTAATCCTGATGAGGTAACTGTCCATGTTTGAATGGAACGTCAGACTAATTATTGTTTCCCTAAATCATGGGCTATTTGGTGGTTGCACTTGCTCTGGGATGGGGCAGCTGTGGATGTGGGGCAGGTGAGAAATGCAAGGCCATGCTTAAGTACCAGAGATAAAGGAGTAAAGCAAAAGACTGAAAAAGGTTCAGGAAGTAAGGGAGCATAAGGACAATCCAATGGGGACTGCCTGTTTCCTTAGCAACTGTGAATATAACTGCCAAAGCTGTATTTTGGGCTGTAGAGCAGTGCTTGCCAGGGTTAAAGTGAGTACTTAGGCTTGTGACATAAAAAAGAAAGAAGGGTGTGATCTGTTGCTGTAGAAAATATCACAATAAATTATTATTCTGAAGACCACTTTTTGCCACTAACATGATAACCCTAAAGCACAATAATCCCAGCAAACCCTAGTCATATTGTAATTGCAGCAAGAAAAAATTTGTGCAATCATACTTTATTAATAAGTGTTAGTGCAGCTTCTACAGCTCAGTGAGTTCATTCTGGAGATTCTGAGCTTTTTAGCGCTCAAAAGTAATCACATTTTAATTGCGACTGCATCAGAGGAAGAAAGTAATTTGTGTGTTAAACTGGTGTTAAATTAAATATAATTTATATTCAGATAGTTGAAGGTGCACTATGTAACTTTACTGGTGTAGAGTCCATCACCTGCTTGTCAACTTGGAAATGTTCCATAGTATGGTTGGTATTCTACATATATCTCCAGGAATGCAACCCGGTGAATCCATCAGGCTAAGTTGCAGGTCAGATCTGTACAGAGGGCACCCTGTCACTGTAAGAGTGCATGTTTTTAAGATATTTTTGAGAAATAAAACATGTTTAAGTAAATACATGTAAAATAAATGCCACATTGTGGGATATTTCAGGAAAAGCAAAAACATCTCCATGGAGATCAGCAGGTGGGAGTCCACCTCACCATAAAATTACATAGTATGCCTTTAATATTAAAAGACTTTATTGGTTGTTAGAAAATCATGATCTGACAATCAGGGGGAAAGTAGTATTTTCATTATCATATGTTTTTGTCATATTGCTTTACTACATAGTAATTATATTTTTGTTAATCTGTCTACTATGTTACATGGACTTTATCATACATACATTTGACTTCATAAAGCTATTGAAAGTGTGTAGTTAGTCATGGTGTCATTGTCAATAATTGTAAAAGTGTTCCTCTTTACAATAATTGATTAATTAGCATAAAATGGCCTCCTTAAAAAATCATTTTAGCAACTGAAATATGGTGTGTACATGTCTGAAACCCTCTGTGTGTGCGATAATAATCCTGCACTAAATATTTAGTCTTTAGGTGATCGTGAGGTTCCAGTGCTTAGTTCAAGAACTGTCTTTGCCCTTTTTCCATAGATAAAGTATGGTACAGACTGCCCTGAACCTGCACTAGTTTGCAATAAAACATCGTGACATTCACAGGAAGTGGACAAATCAACAACTGGTGTGGTACAAATAGCAGTCCCTCTCTTACCCATCACATGTCCCATCCCCCCCCCCAGCTCCAGACACTTGGCACACGATTCTGACCAGCAGGCCAGACATAGTTGGTGGGGGTCAAGTCTGATCACCTGCCCAGAATTGAGAATGGCATTATTTTAGTAGTTAGACCTGATTGAACAAATGCACACAAGACTGGCCATTGGCCATTGGCCATTGTCTTTTTGTGGCATTACTTTTACTGTGTAATGGTGGTCGTGGTGTCTTTTCAACTTTTAAGCCCCACCACATAACATTTTAACCCAAAAACAAGCAAAAAGGTAAAACATCTATTTTCATTTTAGATGCTTTTACTGTACAAGAACATGTAGAAAAACATGTGTTGTTACAGTGAATGGACTTCTCCACAAACCCGACTCTTGCTTGACGAGTAACAGGGCTTCTACCTGCCCATCTCCATGAGGACCTGTGATGTGACGCACCTTTGTAGTAAAAACACACTAAATATTTGTTTTTAAAATGACAAGCTTAGAGACAGCTTTTCACAAACATTGCAAAATTGTAAATGTATGTAACTCCATTATGTAACTACTTTATTACTTATTGTAAAGGCTTTTACAATTCTGTATGTTGGATATAAATCCTTTACAATGAGGCATTGCAAACATTGCAAACTGATAAAAAAAAAAAAAAAAAGCCTGTTTTGGCAACTGACAATATCAGAGCCTCATTAGAAAACATGCTTCCGTGTACTACTGTTTACTTGAATTTATTCATGTAGCATTCAGCGCAGAAATGAACTTGAATGTTAATAACATGGTTAGCATGTCACGGGCTGGACAAATCACACTAAAAAAGTTGTTCGTCGAAACAGTCTCAAAGTTTGTTTTGTTTCACAAACAAGCTTATAAGCCACAAATCCTACAAACTTTAAACAATATGATTACTGTTATTACTCATCAATAAATGTTTGTATTGCTTGTGTTGTTTATTGTTATAACTGTACTTTTTGCCTTTAACAGGAATCTGCGTAAAATGTAGCAAGGGTGTGTATGGAGCGAGTCAAGCGTGCCAAGCCATGGGCAATTTGTACCACACAAATTGCTTCACCTGCTGCTCTTGTGGTAAGTTCAGTTTAACTTGCTATAAATATTAGGGGTGAGACGAGACCAAAATTGGGTCAGCAAGATGAGATTTTGATATAATTTACAATAATAGATGCATTTCATAATTTTGCCCAAATTATTTTATTATTTTTATATTATTATTTTATGGCTAAATCTAAGTAGTTTTTATATGTTTAAGCTTTTGGTACCAATTGATATCTGTTACATTTAGAACTATTAATTTGAACATCGTCTGTAGTTTATTTACATAAATATAAGAAAAAATGTATTACAAGTTTTTAATTCTGTAATCTTTTCATATTTTATGTGTAAATATTGGACATTTGAAAAAGGGATTGAATTCAGGTTTAAATTTCTTGCTTCATTTTGGAGAGTTTGATGTGTGTAGATGCTACTTAAAGGGGTGATCTTCATGTCCCTGTTTGTGAAAACACCATTTGAAGTTACAGTGTTGCATAAATTTGATTCAAGTGCATGTTATTTTTTGTTGAAAATATTTAATTTTTCATTTTTAGTTATCTGTGGTGTAAGATCTAAAAAATTTTCAAAAAATCAAACAAAAAAAAAGACACTCCATCTGTTTTTAAAAAGTCTTTAAAAATTCTTCATAGCATCTTGGCACTATGCACCTATGCATTTCAGCCAACACAGCCTTCATCAGGGCACAAACCCAGGTAAGAGGTGGGCACTCAGCTATATAGCTATATTAGGTGGTGTGTCCATGGTACAGACACCACTTTTTTCTTGTCTTAATTTCTCCACATTTTGGTGTTTTAACCTCACAGAAAACTACTAAAATATTTAAGTTAAAAAGAACCCTCTGTGTAAAGAGTACCTGTCTAAAAAATGAACTAGTATCCATACAGCACTTCTCATCATATTCTTTGTGCAGAAAATTTAGTTTTGACCATGTTATAACTGTCTTTGTATTTCATTTACTTAGGGAGTATGCTTCAATCAAAATATAACTATCTCCTCCCAATGCTCTCAAATTATTTCCAGTAAATCAAGACTGGGTCATACATGTAGTGTCACATAGCCGTATTTCAACATAAACAATCTGCTGCTTGCTATGGTGAAATACTCTTCACATTCACAGCTGTGATCCAGTCAAAAGAATATAATATAAATAACTTTCTGGTCACCGGTGTCAATGTGAGGTGTTTTAGTTTAGTATTCTCATGCTTTGTGACTTGACTTGAGTGACTTGAGTGACTAAGATGAAGAAGAGCTGCTTTTGCTCAGCTATGGACCACGTATATGTTCCCCACAGCTCTATGTTCCTCCTCCTCCTGGTCCTCTCACATTTAAAAGATAGTTTTGAAAGTAAATCCATAACCCCTATCCTCACTCTGGCCCTAACCATAATCTCAAAACCAGGCCCTAACCGTAACTACCCTACAACCCAACAATTATGAACAAAGACCTACAGGAACATAGAACCCTGTTTTTAAAAATGTCTTACAAACATGGGGACATAAGGCAGAACCCCACCTGGATCACACTGACATTACATAAAGCTAGCTCGGCGAAATGTTTGCTTTTTGATGGCTACATTATCACCTGAGAGAAGCTCCTACATGACTGACATGTCTTGAATTAAGAGGGGTAATTTGAAACCCAAACTCGGCCCTTCCCTGTCCATTGAAAGTTGTGAAATGCACTTATAAACTTATTGTTGTTTTCTTTAATAAGACTGTAAAAATCAAGTACAGCAGCTTTAAATCTGACCCTAAAGTCAGTGTATGACTTGTGTCAGTAATGTTCCTGTTACTTGACTCCAGCCTCCCTCTTCAGTTTCCTGAGCAAATAAGAGGAAGATGTCTAGAGAAAGCCTTTTAACCATGTTGTGTCCATTCATATGTGAGATCAACCACCCCACCCCCAAAGGCACTATGAACTGCCTTTAATTTACATGTAGCCAGAGCCGCATACTTACCCATTTATTATGTCTGAAGAGAGCGCGGCCAAATGACTAGTGTCCAGTGGCTGAAGTTGCTTGAGTTTGATTCTGTCCTGGTAAAGGTGGATCTGAGGATTGAATTCTTCTTTATAATATAAGCTTTTCATTGACTATTTGCTTTTTATTTTTAATTTCATCAATACCACACATTATGACTTGGCTTGCTATGAGTGGCTTGTCTTCATAATTTAAATTTTATGAGTGAACAACCAAGAATAAGCATGGAGAATATGGATAAAATTAATAACATGATTTAGATCAAGATTACTTTACTTGTCCTGACTCCCAAAGTCAATTTGCCTTAGACACCCTAGCTGCCATATAGAAAAATACACACTTGCTTCTCCAGTGGGTTTATTTAGTGATGTCAGTTTTATTTTGTGTATTCATCTGACTTCCTGTGAATGCAAAGGTTTTATGTCATGCTTTAAATGTAAAGACTTTAAAAGGATAGCTAAATCTAACTAAATTAATCTAGTGAGTCAGTGTGCACCAAGTATGGTGTCCTGTAGGATCCAGGGCTGTAGGATCTGGCTAAGTTTGCTGATACATGGCTCTCTGGTAGCCTTGGGCTTTGTTTAGCCATGCATAATTGAGCCCTCTCTTGGCTTACTCCCATGGTTGCACCCTTTTTCATGAAATGGCCAAGAATGCAAAAACTACCCCCTCCACTTCAGCTGGCCTTCCTCAGAGGAACTCAATAGGCACTTTACCATAGGCTTTTGGGTTCAGGCAGTGTCTGCACAGAATGGTACGGTTGGGTTACTGGAGGAGTTGAGGTCCAAGGGACAGGGGTCTGCTTCATGAGCAGGTGATGCTATCTAAACCCAACATTTTGTTATTATTAACTCTAATTCATACCTGAAACTGGGGTTAAAAATTGATGACCAGATACTAATTGATAATAAAACTAGTATCGACACTAGATAATCATTCAAACAAGTATCAATACAGGACCCCCTAAACTGAAGTGGCACACAGTACTACTTTGAAACAATCATGGATTTTTCCTAGAGGCACACTTGCAAAAAAGGGGTTGAGGTCTGTGTAATGCATTGAGTTTGGTTGGTGTTGGATGCATTGGTCACTGGATATACTATGCTTTTAATCTCAAAAAGAGTGCTGTTGAACAATAAAATAAAAAGAGCTGTTTCTAGCTTGGTTACAAGCTTTGTTTTGCTAACCATGTTGGCGCAACATTTAAGATGCAATCTATGGGACTCTGGCTTTTTTTTTTTTTTCGCATGTCATGGACACGTGACCACAACTGAATCACGTCCACCTCTGTATTTGACCTATGTGAATGTAATTAGTGGTGGTGATTCAAATTTCAACTCTGTCAGATTGAGCATATGCATTTTAAATGTTTTTTTTTAGAAGTCTTTGTTTCCCTGCTCGCCAACCGTGAAAAATGCCCATGTCCAAAATGTTTTTGTTTTTTTTGCTTCTTGTCAAGCATAAAATGTAATCGCTAATTTTGGATGAAGTCATCCAAAGTCAGGAAATTACAGTGTTTTTTGCTGCTCTGCTATGTGGAATCCGTAAGGATAATGATAAATTAATTATTTATTTTTTTATTCAGTGTCACTGGATGTCGCATGCTGAATTTGAGCTTATCTGGACCAAAAACGTAGGACTAGATATGTTTCATAAAAATCTGATTAGAGCAGTGCTCTAATTCAACTTTTGTTTTGTCTTATTGTTCTCTATCACTATTCTGAATTTTATTGGTCTACACCATACTTTGCTTGTCGCCACTCCCATAAGAGCCCACTTGAAGGTGACACTGTTGAGATGAGTTGTCTTGCGATGCCCATTTTATCAAATTTTCACCGGAGAGGTTGATCCTATACTCAGTTTGGAGACTTTCTGTGAATTTTCCGGGGGTCAAAGATGAAATCATTTGGTCCGAAAAAGAGGAATAATAAGAAACCAACTAAGAACGATGCTGAAAAAATTCTTCAGTTTAATTTCTTTTTAATATTTGCTTT